TGAGGTCATTCCATTTGGAACGTAGGTGAAATATCTTGGTATTGTTCTTGATAAAAACTCACCTGGAATACTCACTTGGAAAAAATTTTACACAAAGCCAGACTGTCTCTATGGACATGTCGAAGAATTTGTGGTAAAATTTGGGGTTTAGGTCCCAAACAAATCCATTGGATTTATGTGATGATTGTCAGACCAATGATCACTCATGGTGCAATTGCCTGGTAACCGAAGGCTTTACAGAAAACGGACCAGGCATAGCTCTCTGGCTCACAGAGACAAGCTTGTCTGGCCATTAGTGGTGCAAATGTGATATAGCGCAACGTTATTTCTCATCGTTGAAAGGAAAAACTGTCATTCAGTTGAAGCAATGATATTCCTACTCAAAATTTTTTTCACCAAAAAATAGAATCACTCATTATGCATATTAAGAATAACCTTTAAAAACATTGATTATTAACATTCAAGTGAATGAAATACCTTGAGATTATTGCATGTTTTTTTATTGTAGAGCCGACGTCCTTTGAGCTCTGGCAAGGGTAGTTCATTACAAATGATTCTATTATGGATTGCCCATCTTCTGGTAGTTATTTCTGCAGTAACTGGTGAGTACTGATTTTTTTTTATTCAGTTTGGCATGAAAAAAAGAAACAGAATAATATCAGTTATTTATATAATTTGTTCCGCTGGCAATATAGAATGAAATTCATCGTTAGATTTTGAAATGATTTCGGGACAACTCTCAAAATGACTTCAAAACACGTAATCTGTAAGTAGAAGTAAAACCATCAGGCACCTGTGCAACGTCTTCGATTTGAAAGATTCGTCGCAAATTATTTTCCACTATGAAAAGCAGAAATCAATTTCATTTGGTCGATCCGACCAACCGATAGACCGGTTTCGGGGCGTTTGCCCCATCATCAGTACCGTGCTTGGTCTCTTCAGAACGGCGTGAACCAAACAGACCAAGCTCATCCTCAGTTCAATGAGGATGGAGCCTAGCTTCCTTACCCCTGTAGCTGATTTTTGTCAGAAAGACAAATGTTTTTATAACTGAGAGATGGCGGCGGTATAAAATTTCTCAGACATCAGTACTGCCCTTCACGGGGTACCCCTACCTGGCTGGGGTGGGATGGATGAAAACTCTGTTCATCCGTTAACGGGGGACGATGACGACCAAACAAATATAATTCTAGCTAGTCATAGAATCTCTCTGCAGTTGATTCAGTGTCTGCGCCACCTGCAGACAGAGCCAGGAAACAACTCCACAAGTATACTCCGAGGTGGGAGTCGCATGAAAGGAAAGGGGCAACCTTAAGCAAGTCATAATGCACCTCTCCGGAATATTAATCATTATTTCGACTCCCACCCCGGAGTATGCTTGTGGAGTTGTTTCCTGGCTCTGTCTGCAGGTGGCGCAGTGGAACTCCCACTGAATCAACTGCAGAGAGATTCTATGANATATTGTAAAAACTCATTTGCAGAACTGCTTGTATGTGGAATAAACTTCCTGAGAACGTTTTTATAAACAGATTTAATCTTCAGTGATTCAAACCCAACGTGAATCGCTACTTTCGCACAGGCACCGCTCTTAGAGTGCCTTAAGAATTTTCCTGTAGTGTTTGTGTTCTGTCCTTAAAAAAATGATTTCGTGTACTCAGAATACATTTAAAATAACGACTCATTTGTACGTAGTATAATAATGATATCTACAGAAAAAGGGGGTTCTTTCTGATATTATTGATTACGTCACTTCCTTCTCCTTGGGCGGGTGACAAAAGCCCCCCAAATTCGTGAACAGCATGGAAAAATTGGGTGAGATATGGTTCTGAAGTCCTTGAAATTATCTTCTACCTGTGCGGTATTAGAATTTTAAAATTCCATTACATTTGAAAATTACAATTTATTCAAATGCTCACTTACTACAGCTTATACCCGGCTTGTTTGGAAAATATCCACTGTATCAGAAAGTACACAGTTGGTGCCAGAGAGGGCAGATGTCTGTCAACCCCAGCAAAACTGTGATAATTCCCTTTACCAAGTGGAGACTATTTAACGCCACTTTCCCTCAATGATGAGGTAATTCCATTTGGAACGGAGGTGAAATATCTTGGCATTTTAATCGATGAACAACTCACCTTGTAACGCTCACTTGGAAAAAGTTGTACACGAAGCCAGAGTGTTCCTATGGACATGTCGAAAGATTTGTAGTAAAACTTGGGGTTTACTTCCCAAATAAATCCATTGGATTTGTGTGATGATTGTCAGACCAATTATCACTTATGGTGCAAATGCCCTGTTGACCGAAGGCCTTACAGAAAACGCCCCAGGCCAAGCTCTCTGGCTCACTGAGACAGGCTTGTCTGACCATCAGTGGTGCCATCAGTACCACACCGTCAACAGCCATGGAGATCCTCTAGATCTACCTCCTCTCCACATTTTTCTGAAGAGAGAGGCTAGATAGACTGCATATAGACTTGTGCACACTGCCAATTGCACAAATCAATTCAATGCAGAGTGCAACAGATTGTTGGTTGACACTGGAAGTCACAACATTCTGGAAATGACCTCTGAGTTTATGCCTCCAATTGTCAACTACGAACTGCCTTATACTACAGTACTGTTTCCGAGTAGGGAGGACTAAATCCTTCGGAAGAAGGAAATATTAAGAGCAGATAGTTGTTGGTTCATAGATGGATCAAAAACACCTTCCGGTTCTGATACAGGTGTTTTCAGTCGCAGACCCGGTACAGAGATATCAACCTGCCTAGGAACCTATGCGACTGTATCACAAGTCAATAAAAATATTCTCGGACAATCAAACGGCGTTGGAAGTTCTTGACTCCAACCAAGCAACATCTAAATTGGTGGCAAATTGCCAAAAACGGCTCTCCTCGATAGGAAGACTCAGCAGTTTGTTTCTGGTTTAGACTCCTGGCCATACCAACCTAGAAGGTAATGAGGCTGCTGACTCCCTTGCAAAGGATAGTGCTGCAAGGAGCTTCATCGGACCAGAACCTGTCATTGGCATCGCTTTAGGCTTTAGGCTTTGCCAAACAAAGATTGAACACCTGGATGGCAAAAAGATTTATGGACTTTTGACAGAATCTTCCGGGATTGGCTCATTCCAAGGCGTTTATTCACCTTTCGAAGCTTGATACCAAACAGTTGTTGGACTACAGTAAGAATGAACTACGATGTCTAACAGGCCTTCTTACAGCTCACTGTCATTTGAAACATTATATGCAGAGACTCGGACTGTCGGAAGAGAGTGTGTGTCGCCTCTGTTTGGGAAATGATGAAACAGACACATACTTTGTGCCTGTCCCGATGGGGACCTAATCAGGTTTTTAGAGTTTGGCAGAGCCGTACTCTTTCTATCTGAAAGACCACTCATCATACAATCCAATCGGCTTCGTTAAGAAGCTAGATTTATTTGGTCGAGTACGAATTGGTGTGAGCCACAATAAACCCTAGCGGGTTGCGGTGGAGGGTAGAATAGACCAACTCACTTCGGACTTAACCTAACCTAACCTACTGCAACTTGTCAAATCTAGGAAGAGCTTTGTTGATTTCGACATGGTCTAGGGAACGGGTAGGTAATGGAAATTATCAAGTCTCTTCTTAGATTTGACAATATGTACTTGGTTTAATCAAATGATCAAACTTATAGCCGCTTGTATGTATGCGGTGTGGTTCCTTGAATTTGCAAAAAGTGATTGTTCAATCGAAACTCAAATACCGTCAAAAGTCAGTGCATATGTTCGATAACCATATTAGATGCATTTTCAAATCGATCATAAAGAAGTTTTTTTATATTACAAGCTTTTCAGTATTACTATCTTCATTCGGGTTTGAAGGCCGTCGTAGTTTAGAACTGCATCCTAACGTTTGGCCAGCACGAGTGGCAGGCTTATTCAGAGGTTTATTCATCTTGATGAATCACCGATGACTGGTGATTTCTAGTTCGTATGTTGTATTTATGTTGACTCAGGTAGTCCGCCTCTCTTGTTGATGCGTTGCGAGGAGAAACCAGCAAATCGAGAATAGCAGAGCATGTTTGGGCTCATCAACATAACATCAAGTTCCAAGCTGAGATCATCCACAGGATGATTTAGAAATAAATTTAAAGAAGCCGCATATGTGTTATCCAGCAATGAATGCAGACAAGCTAGCGTAGAAATACGCAACATATGGAAACTCGTAGTCAAGCGGAAAACGACCAACTCCCACCAAACGGTCAGCTCCCGCTAAAAGGGTGAATCCGAGAGAGAAAAGAGGGGATAGGAATGACCTATAAATAGTCATCTCTCGGAGGAATGATTCCAGCCATTACCCGAAGACGATTTTAACTTGTTACTCGTGATGCAACTTGACTTGGAGTGTTTTAATTTTCATTTCTTTTTTTTTGTTCAATGTTCAATTGGTACTTGTATTTTATTTAATTGCAATTTCATTTCAGGGTTATTTTGCGTAATATAATTGTTATTTTCAGCTATTCATTTTAATTTTATTGATTCTCTCAGGGATTTCAAATCATTTCATATCATATTAGACAACGGAAGTTTGAAATAATAAAATTCACTATGAAACATTGTCAACCACTTTCAAACAATAAATATAAAAGGCTCTGGAAAACCATCTGTTGAATTTTTGTTCACTGAAAATTCCACTCTTTTAAAGAATATTCACAAGAAACGAAATGAGATTGTACCCATATAGGTTGTAATATGTAAGTAAATGTGGAGTTACGACGAATTATATTCAATTTGTATAAGTATAATGGATAATAAGTTATTAGTATTATTATTACAAATGGTCCAGAAAGATAAAACCACGGTCTTGTGGTTTGGGCATTTGGATGATAAAATTCCATAATAGGTTGGAAATTCAAAACCGAAAGTTTCAATATAAAAAATGATAATGCAACTGTTTTTCATTCAATAGAATTTGTAAGAACAGAAACGGTTCATACATATCACTTATTCAATAGATTGGTAGTGTCAATATAGCTAGAAATGAATCAACTTGAATATGATCTCCTAGAAAAAAAGAATTTTGCTAGTGCTACTATATTACTGTTATCATCTTTTCTAGGTGGAAAACTAGTTACAACTTTTTCTATACCAAGTAACTGGAATAAGCTCACAAGTACACCGACTGGTCCAGATTTTGAAAAACTTCGAGGGGTACAAGGAATTCGAGTTTATATGACCATTGTTGTCATTGGAGTTCACACTGCTGTAGCACTTGTTGCTAGTCCTATACTGAACCCGCGATATACTGAAAATGTAAGATATTTTTGTGTTCCTGGATAGAAAATGGCACAGATCTGTTCTGGAGCTCTCGTTTATTGATTTTTTCCAGCTAAAGATTACTCTACATGACTAATTTTTTCTGATCAAGCGAAAGGTCACTCCACAGTCGATTTTCTGGGAAAGGCACACCCACTATTCCCACACTAAAATCCACAATGCGTGAAATTACAAAGCGTCTGGCCCTGATGAAGTGCTCGTCATCGAGAAAAATCTTCCAAATAATTATAGATCAGTCACTTTGCTATCCAAAATCATGGAGAAAGTCGTAAACCACCAAATCCTCAAATATTTGGAAGGAAAGATCAACAGGCGACCTTTTATCGTATGTCACCCATATTTGGAATAACACAATCGAGAAATATGGAGAATCAAGAGCTGTTGCACTTGATATTTCTAAGGCCTTTGACTGTATGTGGGATGAGCGTATACTGACCAAACATCGATGCTATGGCTTGTCGGATCATTTCTGTGTACGGCTCTTCAGCTTCTTGAAAGAACATTCCCTGCAAGTGGCCGTCGATGGATAGCTCTCGAATACTTTCACCATCAACGCTGGTGTTCTCCAGGGATCCATATCGTCCCCAACCCACTTTTTATTGTATATCAACGACTTATTGGAATAAACCAAGAATCCAATATTTTGCCTTGCTGATGACAGCACAACTGTCTCGTCATTCCATTTGGATTCCAGGACATCGGCTACGGAGGAACAGATTCACCATCAGCAGGGTGTTGCACATCCTAATAAGGACCTAGAAGTGATTTCGAATTTTTGTGAAAGTAATCAGGTTCAATTCAATGCCACAAAAGCCCAAATGTCAGGACAGACAATTCCGCTTCCTGCTTCGATAAGTTTCTTGGGGGGTTAAAATGGACACCAATATGTCTTGATACAATCATGTCGCTGGAAATGCAAAGGCTGCTTCGCAAAAGCTTGGAACACTGTTCCGAACCAGATAACTGTACACACCCCAGCAGCTTTTGATGCTTTAAAAGCTCAGATCAGACCTTCTTTGAAGTACTGTTCTCATTATGGAGCTCCGCTTGTAAGCACACCTTGAAGCTGATGGATTTCATCCAGAAAAGAGCCATCCACCTCATTGAAGACGCTAACATCACTTGCAACCTTGATAGTCTGGAATATCGAAGAAAAGTTGGGGATTTGTCTCTCTTCTATAAATACTTTTACGGAAGGCGTTCGAGTAACTTGGCACATTTGATTCCACCAAGAGCGGTATATATCAGAAGTACGCGATGAACTGTGACTGCTCATCGTTTTGAAGTTCTACTCAGTACACCTCGAACGTCACTGTTCAAGGACTCTTTCATTTGGAGAACTGCCTAGAGAATGTTTTTCCGAATGGCTTCAATCTCCAACGATTGAAATCCACTACTTTCGCACTTTCGCTACTTTCGCACAGTCACCGCTCTGAGAACTCCTCAAGTATTTTCCTGTAGTGCTTATGTTTTATCCTTAGAAGAAGTGCATCATAATCAGTTGATTCATCTCCTTTTTTTCCAAAAACCAGTTTACAAGGAGCTCAGAAGGAAAAATGAACAAAATTCATGTCTCATTTTTCACTGTGTGCAAAAATTAAAAGTGAGCCCTGTAACTTGATTATTCACAGCACAAATGAGTTCGATGGATGGAAAATAATTACTGCAAAAATTTCACATCAAACGTTGACATTCCTATACTTCCAGATGAACGACTTTCCGGACTTCGCAAGTGAATTTCCCAGACGTGGAGTATACATTTTGACATTTCATTTCATGATGTCCACTTGGATGTTGATTAATTCGATGCTTGCTAAAGTAGACAGAAATGAAGAGGTGGATTTCAAGTTTGTTATGAAATCTTTATTGAAGAGATATGTAAGGTGAGAATTGATGATATGCTTTCTAATATCACTATTATACGTCAAAAATCTCAAAAATGTACTTGTGTCAGAAACCGATTGTACTGAAAAAAATTAATGCAATGAATATACGTTTCAACACATCACGTTAGCATCATCAGTAGATGAGGGTGATTGAAAGAGTTCTCATTGTGTTGTGTTTATTCATTATTCGAATATTCTGATGATTATTTCGTAAGAGAGTTGTTTGAATAGTCGCTGTTCATAGACCTCATTATATGAGCTGTTCCAGTGCTACCAATCAAACATAATCATTATTTGAAATTTCACTTCATTCATATAACTCAATTTCCGCATAGAAAATAACCGAAATGATTTTTTTGAAGGTTTACTCCCACTGTTGCTCTGATAGTGGGTTTCTTCGCAACATGGTTTCGTCATATACCAGCTGGTCCTTTCTGGCTTGCTGTCTGTGAAGAAACTGAAAGGTGCAGGAAAAACTGGTGGTTGAACATGTTCTTCGTTCAGAATCACATTGACCGCTACAATATGGTAAGTATACGTCATTATAAAATCCGTAACTGAAGGACACACACGAATGATTCAATTTTTTCAAAGAAAGGTTTACTCTCTCTTATGCCAAAGAAAATTTTCCGAAATGTTTCGGAAAATTTGAACATATACAGCAAAGTGAATGATTGTCTGGAAAACAGTGATACGATGGGGGACTATTTATATTTCGGGAACTGGCAACAATAATGTCAATAGGTTTGAAATTTTTAGCATCAAGAATGTGTCGATGAACTCAGTTCTTTGTATGGTGATGAAGCACTATCAAAAACCACAGTATGTCGCTGGTATAGTGAATTCAATCGTGGTCGTAGTTCGGTCGCCGACGAATTCCGTGGAGGTCGTCCAAAATCGGTTATTGTGCAACAAAACATCGATGCAGTGCTTGAACTGATAATGAAAGATTGTCATGTGACATATTGTGAGAGGAAAACCCAGGTCATGATACCTCGCGTGCGAATAGGTCACATTCGCCTCACTCATGGACACCAGCACTATGTGTGAAGTGTGCGACTCCTCCAAAGAAAGGTTAATTCATGGCATCCCGCTTTCAATCAACGCCTTAGGACCTGAGTGTTATATTGAAAATATTGTAAAATTTTTAGAAAATGTCAAATTCTTAAACTTTATACAGGGTGTTAATTAAGTATGTACCATAAATTCAACAGACGATTCTTTAGGTAATTTTGAGACGAAATGTTCATTTAAACATGGGGCCGCAAATCCTTCGTTCTCAAGATACATGGTGTTAAAATAAAAATAAAATAAAAGTTATTCGTAAATATCTTAAATATCCTTTACCTAATTTTGTTGTAATTTTACAATGGTATTCATAACATTAAGGGAAACAATCTCTGGAACGAAATTTAGCAAACCAACGACTTAAGTCAATTAGTACCAAAGCAGATAAGATGATAAGTTACAGTTGCCAGAATCTTTCAAATATTTTGGAGGCAGTAGATAGCAAACTCAATTCTCAAATCTGAACATTTTTTTAGATGTTTTTCTTTGGAATAGGTATACTGACGGAGTATTGAAAAGTACGATCTTTCAATACAACCATTGATAATGTTAGTTATATATTTGTCAACGGGCTACAGAATAGTGAAATGTTTGATTTTATACAGGGAGTTAATTAATTATGCACCATAAATTTAACAGACGATTCTTTAGGTAATTATTTTAAGACGAAATATTCATTTAAACATGGGGCCGCAAATCCTTCGTTCTCAAGATACAGGGTGTTAAAATAAAAATAAAATAAAAGTTATTCGTAAATATCTTAAATATCCTTTACCAAATTTTGTTGTAATTTTACAATGGTATTCATAACATTAAGGGATCTGAGTTAGCCTGACCGTGATTCAATTTATTGAGTCCAGTGGCTTCTCGAGCGGGTTTTGAACGAATATTTTTGACTTAAAAATGTACGCCACTGACTTATGTGCAATTTTCATCATTTCTTCGGATTGAGCAATCAGAAATACAACTTTTTTGCCTCCTGAATTTTTTCCGTATCTTGCTTAGTTTTTGAGAAAAAAAAGTCGACCTAATTGCATATCCCTGGACCTCACAAGGAATAATATGGGGAATTAAATGTTTCCTTTGGAAATTATTATTTTTACAATTTTCCATTACTAATTATGTAACAATAACAACAAATATTAAATAACATTAACATCTAGACTTACGAATTGCACTAAATTAAGTTGGAAATGGCCTCCTTCGGCTTCAATACAACCGTCTTGCCGCCGTATCATTGAATTTCGCACTCTTCTGAAAAAACCTGGCGTATTTTTTATTATGTCACATGTATTAATAATTTTATTTCGTAAATCCTCTTCCCTTTGAATAGCAGTTTTGTATACCAACGTATACCTACACTAAAGTGTGGTGGAGCACCATCGTGCATGTACCACATACGGAATCTTTCCTTGACTGGAATTTCTTCTAAAAGTAAAACAAATTCTAAAAATCTTCGGTATTCTTCTCCATTAAGTCTAGGTAGTGAGGCCCAATGAGATGGTCACCGACAATTCCAACCCAAATATTAAGAAAAAACTTTTCTTGAAAATTATTTTCTATCAAAGCGTGTGGATTGTTTTCGGCCCAAATGTGATTGTGGTGGAAGTTAATAATTGAATTGCGAGAAAAACAAGCTTCACCTTTAAACAATATTCAACTTAGGAATCCTGGATTTCTTCTTATTTTGCGACGTACACCATACAAACTAATCGGCTTCGTTAAGAAGCTGGGTGTATGTGGTCGAGTGTGAATGGGTGTGAGCCACAATTTAACCTTTGTGGGTTGCAGTGGAGGGTCGAATAGGTCCACTCACTTTAGACCTACGGTGTTGTTTTCGAACAATTATGAACAAGCAATGACGAGTAACTTCAAGATTGACCGTACGACCATGTGGCAAGAACACATGATGCAGTAAACCACGGTTATTGGAGAAAACAGTAAGCAAAACTTTGACATTTGATCGAACATTTGGTCTTGGCTTTCCTGGACTCTTCCATTGGGACGATTGGACTCGGGTATCGTTGTCATAACCATGTACCCATGATTCGTCACCAATTATAACTCTTTCAAGCGAATTTGGATCGCCGTAGACGTCATTCAATGAATACCATGCGATGCTCGTGTGACGGTTTTTTTTTGGTCAAAATTCTATTTTGGAATGAACTTCGCTGTTACAAGCGTCATGCTCAAAATGTCCGAAAAATGTACATGAAATGAGCCAACGACATCTTCAGCAACTCCTCTAATTGTAATTTAACGAATCTAGATAACAATTTTCTTCACTTTCTCAACATTTTCATCGGTTGTTGATGTGCTGGGGCTTGTACCACTTGTAAACATTCTCCTGATTCAGAATACAATTACCGTATGCCACTGGCAACATTTCAAGTGTCTTGAGCACTCAATTCCATTTTTACACAAAATTTGATGAAAATTATCTGATCCGTTTATTTCGATAACAGAAAATCATCGAACACGCAAAACACATGTTTTTATGCATCTCACCAACAAACTGAACATGCTAAACAGCAGAAACTGTGAACATATATTCGAGACAGTAACCTCATTATTTGAACAGAGCTCGTACATTCATTTCTTTAAAATATCTGTACTTCTCTGAGTTACCATTTTTCAGGACCTTGATTATTCCAATAATAATCTGACTCAATTACAGAGGTGGAAAAGTCTTTCAATTGGAAAACAAAACTTTTTACAACATGCATCGGCATTTATATTTTTTTTTACATCACTGATATTCAGCTGATGTGTAGTGGTACGTTTTTTCCCGTGGGTTGACCAATAATTGGCTACACTAAACAATAATCAAACTCAACTCTATTCCACTTCAAATACAACAAACACTTCAACTAAAACTTCAACTATTATTCGAATGTCTATGGCCTTACTAGATCGCTTCGCGTACTGCACTGTAACTTCCACTTGACTGTGTTGATAGGCTCGTGGATAGTGTTTATATATCGTAATCGAATGCGGTAGAAAATTCGCCGGAGTTCCATCTAAGTTGGTAGCATTATTGTCGTTACATCTAGAGCGGCAGTGAACATCGTTGATTCGCGCGCTCTTAGCTATGTCACAATTGGTTTATGGCTACCAGTGGCGGCCGGCGTTATTTTCTTCAGGGCATGAATTGCATCAGTGGTATTGAATGAATAATGAAATATTCTGCACTTCAGTTATCTTCTGAAATCCAGGCAAGTAACATTTGGTTTTCTTTCACAGTGTCACATTGTCAGTTGGTTCCTCGCTGTGGAAATGCAGTATTATATAATCGCATCATTATTGTTGATGATTCTACTGAAGAATAGACACAGGATTCTTCCTGTTATTGGATTCCTCATAGTTTTGAACATGTTCTTCACTTTTCTTGACCACCGCAGACATGGATATCCCTCTACATTGTCTTCTAAACCAGAGTGAGTATTACATAATGGGGGGAGGTTTTCATGAAATGAACATATTAGGGCATACAAAGTCTCAAGTCGACACCACCCTGTCTCATTAATAATGATGAAAACAATCACTTTGAACTTGGTTTCCAGAGAGGTTTTCAGAGTCTTGTTCAATAAGAGGCCTCAATGGCATGATCACTTCGCCAGTTATCATGCTAGCGCTGCTGGTTCCATACTTGGACTGGGATTTGGATACGTTTACTATGAGACTAGGGATAAAACAATCTTTACCAAAAAGGTGAGTTACCATTTTCGTGGTTTTGAACTGCTTACGCATTATATACTGCTTCTGTCATTTCCTCAGAGTAGCTTTCTCAATTCATGCATCATTCATTTCATACAGTACATTTGTGAAAGCATTTCTATTATTTTTGAAAAGTTAAGAAAGATGCTAAGTCATACCACTCTTAATAGAGACAGATAGAGATCATGTTGCGAACATATTTGGGGACAATTTCTCTTCAGTGGTAGAAAATAGCTTATGCCCGTTAACGAATGTGAAATTGGCGCAGTAATTAACAGTCTGAAAAATAAAAAAAGTACAGGAATTGATAATATATCAGTGAGAATTTTAAAAGGAATTAAGTTACACATTTCAATACTTTTAGCTTATTTGTTGAATCTATCAGTCACAAGTGGCAAATTTCCTTCAATTCTAAAAACAGCCATGATCATACCAGTTCATAAGAAGAACGATACATCGGATACTATCGTCCCGTGGCCCTGCTGAGCATTTTCTCAGAAATTTTTTAAAAGGTTATAAATGAGAGAATATTAAGGTTTAAGATCCTGTCCGATTCTCAACATGGTTTTTGCAAAGGCAAGTCCACTCAATCAGCTACTTGGAGATTCTTAGAAATCATATACGCTTCTTTAGATAGTGGTAATCATGTTGCAGGAGTATTCTTCGATCTGTCACTAGCGTTCGATTGTTTAAATTTTAAATTCACCTGTAATGAATATGCTCTCACTCTTTTCGCAGATGACACGTCTTTAGCTGTATCAGCAGAGAGTCAGGAGGAATTGAAATCAAAAACAGAGGAATTAATATCACTTAGTATCTTTCTTTAATTTCTGTCGAATATAATTCAATATTCAGCATGGTATTTGCCGGGGAAGTAGCTGTTTTTCGTTAGGCATTCACCAGAACATACTGTGGTAGAGATGCGTATTTCGAGATTTTATTCAGATATATTTATTTTCTTATTTGAGAACAAGTACATTCCTATACAATATTTAACATATGAACTTATGCATATACAAATACGCATATTTATATGCATAACTGAATAGAATCAGTTTCGCAAACATTCTGAAATTAAAAACAAACCGTTTTGAACTAAACATGATTTTGTATCTCTCTTGAATAGAATTTAGAAAACATTTGATAGCGTTATCATCAAAAGCACTGAAATTAATGCGTTTTTATATAAATATTGTTCAACCACGCTATCTAGATCCATTCAATAGGTTAGAGGTATAAAACTTCTACAACTGTTTGACATTTTTCAGCTCACTTTTTCATTAACGATATTTAATTTTCAGATTCATGTTATCTTGTGGTGGATTCTATCACTCGGCTTCCTAGGATTAGTTTCCTTTTTCCCTTCATTTTACAATGTAGACCAAACTCCCACTCATTCCGCCATCTGGGTAGCTTTAACTCGACCTCTGTACGCTGCAGGAATGGGGCTTCTAGTCTTAGGAATGGCACATGGCCAAGGGGGTGAGTACCACAATATTCAAAAATCTTTCAATAATCAATAGTGATGTGAATCATCAGTTCTGAATATTCATATTTTTTCAAGTTTCACCTTTAGTTTACAGACGAATATATTCAAAAAATTCGCAGAATACAACTTTCCAAGACAACTCCAACAAGAAAAGACATGCATGAAACATTCGTTGAAAAACAATTTAATTGAATTCGAAACGTCATCAAGAAAACAATTGTTTTTTTTTATAAAAAATTGATCCTGTTACCCAACCAACCCTTCTTCAGAATAATACTTAATCACTGTTATTCTTGAAATCAGGAATGGTAATATTTGAATTTCCACCTTTTTACCATCAAATAATTACATTTTGGGTATGCCGTTGTGGCCAAAAACAAAAAAGACTATAATAAGATGTGTAGGGTAGGTAGGGTAGGTCTTGAGTGAGTGGGTCTATTCGACCCTCCATCGCAACCCATAAGGCTTCATTGTGGCTCACACCTATTCACACTCGGCCAAATAAACCCAGCTTCTTAACGGAGCTGATGAGTTTGTATGGTGAGTGGTTTTTCAGGTCAGATGGTGAGAGTACGGATCTGCCGAACTCAAAGAACCTGATTCGGTCCCCAGCGGAGTAGGCACAAAGTATATGCTCTGCAGTTTCATCATTTACCAGACAGAGGCGACACACACTGTCTTCCGACAGTCCAAGTCTCTGCATATGATGATTCAAATGACAATGACCTGTAAGAAGATCTGATAGACATCGTAGTTCATCCCTACTGTAGTCCAACAACTGTTTGGAATCAAGCTTCGAAGGGTAAATAAACGCCTTGGAGTGAGCCAATCCTGGAAGATTCTGCCAGAAGTCCACAACTTTTCTTGCCATAAAGGTGTTCAGTGTTTGTTTGGCAAATCCCAAAGCGATGCCAATGACAGGTTCTGGTCCAATGAAGCAGCTTGCAGCACCCTCCTTTGCAAGAGAGTCAGCAGTTTCATTGCCTTCTAGGCCAGTATGGCGAGGAATCCAGACCAGAGACAATCTGTTTAGTCTTCCTATCGAGGAGAGTCTTTTTTGGCAGTTTGCTACCAATTTAGACGTTACTCGGTAGGAGCCAAGAACTTCCAACGCCGCTTGACTGTCCGAGAATATTTTAATTGACTTGTGAGTGAGGTTGGATTTAGCCAATCTCTCCGCACACAATTCAATAGCGTAAAATACAGTCGCATAAGTTCATAGGCAGGTAGATAACTCTGTCCTGGGTCTGCGACTGAAAACACCTGCACCAGAACCGAAAGGTGTTTTTGATCTATCTGTGAACCAACAACTATCTGGTCTTAATATTTCCTTCTCCCGCAGGATAGGATATGTACTACAATAAGATATGTACGAATGAGAAATATTAATGAATCTGCTCCAAATAGGTCTGTTAAAAAAATAGGGTGGATTTTCTTTTTTATTAAATAATGTCCATTTATTCATCACTTTTCATTTTGTCCCCTTCAAAATATTCCCACTCGGAAATCATACTTTTGTCGGCGTTTTTTCTTCACTTTGAAGCAGTTCTGGTATGCACTTTTTGATATGTCTTTGAGCGATTCGGTTTTTATCTTCTCAATCTATAGATACTTTCACGGGAAGTGTTCAAGTGACTTGGCACATTTGATTCCACCAAGAGAGGTACATATCAGAAATATGCGACGAACTGTGGAAGCTCATCGTTTCGAGGTTCAACTCAGTACACCTCGAACTTCACTGTTCGAGAGCTCTTTTATCAGGACTGCGTTTTTTTCTCATAAACGCTACTTCCGGTATCGCTCTGAAAGCACCTTATGGGTTTTCCCGTGGTGCTGGTGTTGGATCCTTAAAAAAATCGTCGCAAAACACTATTCTATCATGAGTCTCGAGTCTCTTGGAAACAGAAGAAGTCGCAGGGGGGCAATTCTGGTGAATACGGTGTCTGAGGCATGATAACGGTGTTGTTTTTGGACGAACAAGTTATAACGAGTGATGCAAAAGCTACGAATTGTTTGTCACAATACTGGACGTTTTCTTTGTATTGCTTCTCGTCAGTGGCGCGGTACGACCATGTGACAAGAACTCTTGATGTACCTACTACGCCACAGTAATTGAAGGCAACACTGAGCCAAACCTTGGCATTTGATGGATTTTAGCGTGCTTTTTAGGTCTTGACTCTCCTTGGCTCTTCCATTGGGACGATTTGACATTGGTCTGATATCACAACATCTTCAGCAACTTCTCTAATAGTAATTTCACGATTCTTCATAACAATTTACTTCACTTTCTCATCATTATCTTCGATTGTCAATGTGCTGAGGCATCCTGAACGAGCGTCGTCATTCACATCTTCTCGACCTTCTGTGAAGAGCCTGTACCTCTTGTAAGCATATGTCTGACTCAGAGTGCAATCATCATGTACCACTATCAACATTTAACGTGTTTTCACAAAAAAATTTGTTGCAAATTATTTTACCTATCTCTTTCGATGCAGAAAATCGCCAAACACGCAAAACGTTTCTAATATTTTTGCTTTTCACCAACAAACTAAACATGCTAAACAGCTGAAAGTTTGAATATATCTTCGAGACGAGTGTAATTTTAAAAAATCACTAATGAATTGTACATAACCTGTGAAATTTCAACATTTACCTTATTTTTTTAACAGACCCCGTATGATAACTGACGCTAATAACAAATAAAAATAATAGCCAACATAAAAAAATATTTGTTTGAAGGTGACTGACAATGTTTCATGATGAATTTCACTAGTTCGGACTTCCATTGTCTACTATATAAGAAGGAACTAGACATCATCAAAAATGATCTTCAACGGAATGGCTACTCCAAAGCATATTTTTACTTGTATTTTATTTCACTATTATTTCATTTCAGGTTTATTTTGGTTAATATAATTCTTATTTTCAGCTATTCATCTTTAATTCTTCTTTTTTAGTCGTTTCAGGGATTCCAAATCATTTTATATAGTAGACAATAGAAGTCCGAACTAGGGAAATTTATAGAAAAAATGCATATGCATTCACATACAAACAATCCCTTCACGTATTCTGTTTATTTGACCAGTGTCATTAATCTGAATCATCAAAGATGCAATCAAAAACGCGAATCAACGTAACGAATAATTAGTATTTGATCTCAATAATTCACACTAATTGCTACATTATATCAATTGTTGAACAATTATGAACACGCAAATTTTATTTTCCTTATAAAAAGACTGAAAATGCGTTTCAACTATTTTTTTTTTAGTTTTCGAAAATGTTTTTCTAAAATAATAAATTTAATTTTCAGGTTACCTGAGAAGAATGTTAGAATGGGGCCCACTCAATGGTTTAGCCAAATTATCATACTGCGTTTATATCGGTCATACAGTTTTCCAAAACATCAGAGTAGGAATGATGAGAACCCCTGAATTTGTTAACCAGTACACATTTGTGAGTTGATGTTTCACTAGATTTGCTTTATATTTGAAATGAACATTCCACCACTTTCGAATTTTGACAAGACCAAAATGTCTTGATAACAAATGATTCACCCAAACTAGAGGCGAAAAATCCTTACATGGCTGAATCTAATGTATCGTCATTCATTGCTAACTCACAGATTCTCTCATATGGATAATTTGCTGGGGTCATCAAGGTGAGAATATTGTGCCCTCAACATCCAACAACCTCAATATCGATTAATCAACTGTAGTATGACATTATGACTACCGTAGAAGATATTCCTGAAGATGGTTCACAGGTACGGATTGCATATTCTTGCCTGTTTATCACAGGCTACCTGACAGGCTCAGAAGACTGTTTCCTGGCTGATAGTAGCATATAAACAATGTGTAAAAGCCTAATGGAATAAATTCATTATTTCGGTTTGTGTACATATTTGAAAAAAATCCCGAAACACGTCAAATGTAAATTATAATTTGGCATTCTTCAACGTAAAAATGCTACCCCTACTTTCAACCCCCTTCGAATGACAGGCACAACCTCCAATGTTTCGAATGGGAAGTATAGGTTTGTGATATATCGTTTGGAAGGTATCTTCATTCTCTAGTCAAAAATATTATCGCTTTAAAGTTTATTGCAACAATGAAGATAAAATAAATTAAAATCATGTGGTTACCGAAATTCGATAAAATACACTCAAAAACTAAATTGTAATGCAGAACGTAATGAAATGTGGAATACGAAAAAGAACTATGTATGTTAATGAAGTAGATATTCAAAATATTCACCGCGAACATCCTAATCTTAGATAAAACTGTCTTCTAACATTATTCAACATATCAGGCGTGACCGACCGAATCGCAAGAGTTATTGGTTCTTTCAAGTCATTCAAATCTGAAGGTTTAGTTCTGTACATATTGCTAATGATGAAAGATCAGGTGATCGCGCTGGCCATTCAATAGATCCTCGCCTCCCTATCCACCGATTGGGAAATATTGTATCAAAGTATTGCCGTACATTAATCAACTTGGTAATGTGGTGGTGCTCCATCCTGTTGAAACCATATCGTATTCACTGAAACTTTCCTGGATCAGCATTAAATTTGCTAAACTTGGAATGACATCATTTTGAAGTAGGTAGTGCCAAATAATTATCGCCATTCAAGTTGCCCTCAATGAAAAAGAGACCAGTGATATGGTTTCCTGCAATCCCTGCCCAAACATTAACCTTTTGAGGGTATTGCGTGTGTTAAGAGACAAAGTACACTCATCAGAAAACATAACGTCTTCTAATTGGACGATATTGTTATTCAAGATGTCCATCATTTATTCAAAAAAATAAGGTCTTCTATCAGAATCGTCTTCCATGAGCTCCTGAGTAGGTATCATTTTATAGGGATGCACTTTATTTTCCATTAATATGTTTACTATCGATGTATGGCTGACATTGAATGTAGTGTATACCTGTCTACTCGATGTATGTGAGTTTTCCTCAAACTCAAGCATCACATCTAATTTGAGTTCATCACTCATTGCATTGGCAGCTGTTTCTTTGTCTGCCCCACAAGACCAATCTCGCGAAATTGCTTCTCTCTTTTGCTTATTGTTCCCTGAAAATTGGGAAATTTCCCATGAAATAGGCGAGCTACTTCCTGTTGTGTTCGGATTTTATCTCCGTAACCAATCATTTGTAAAACTGTTATTTTATGCATTTTCGTTAATACAACCATTTGTCAGACTTGAAGTTAACGAAATTTAAACTTGAATTAAAATACTGACAACTAATGCTCTGACATACAAAACAAGTTGACATGGTGTTTTAAACTAACGTTGCCACGGAAATTATTTACAGTTGTTTTAAAGAATACCAACTACAAAGGACATTACTATGGTTTTCGCTTAATTTTTTTTTATCAATACCTCATCATGAAAAAAGTTTTGAGTATATTGCAATAACTTTTGAGTGTATTTTATCGAATTTCGGTAACTACATGATTTTAATTTACTTCATCTCAATTGTTGCATTGAACTTGAAAACGGTAACATTTTTTAATAGAGAATGAAGAGACCTTACAAAGGATATATCACAAGCCTATATTTCCCGTTAGAAATTTTGGAGGTTCTACCTGTCATTCGACGGGGGTTGAAGGTAGGGGTAGCATTTTCCGTTGAAGTTCGTCAAATTATAAAATTAAATTTGACGTGTTTCGAGATTTTGTTAAAATATGCACCATAACCGAAATATTGAATTTATTCCATTTGGCTTTTGAACACTGTATATAGTACCCTGACGAACGAGATTCTTCCAAGGCGGCTTTCATTGACTGCATTTTTGTAAAAACTTTTTCCACACCAGAACAAAACACTAGGCGCATTTCGCTAATCAAGAATAGAATGATAAAGTTTACTGATAATGTTGTTTACGTTTGTTTACGTTTGTGGTGGTGCATTTCGTTAGTTTATCTAATATGATATTAATTGATTTGAAATCCCTGGAAGAATCAAAAAAATTAAACAGATTAACTGAAAATAACAGTCCCACCCGAAGACGATTATGGATACGTCATCTCTCTTAAAAAACAAAATGTAGCGTGTCTCCAGAGGCTCTTAAATTCAATGCATCGCCAGAACAATTCGTGACACGACTATCGTCAAACTTAAACCAGACCGTTTCTTCTTTGACCAAGGCGTAATTCAATTCAATTTTATTTGGAATATGTTAATATACAATTTATTAATATTATGGTTAGGACCACTAGGAGTTTGAGGAAAGCAGCTTAAGCACAGGTGGCTTGTAATGTGCTTCCGTCTGTCTCCCCATGGAAGTACTATAAAAATATATCAGGCACAAAAGTAATAAAATATTAAATAACTGCTGCAGTTGTATTAGTGAGTAGACAGAGGAAGCTGGTATATTTTATGACCAAACTCAACGCCAGAACCACAGTGAACAATGACTGCATGAATATTATAATAGTGGTCTGCTAGGTTGAAATGTTCATCTATTTCGAACCTTCCAAAGAGTTTCTTGCTTCCGTTAGAGGTTGAGTCTTGTTTGAAAATCATCAGTGTTATTATTAGATTGACTGGAGCCTCAGCTATACTTGTTTCCTTATAACAGTCAGTTAGTTTGGCGCATGTTTGACAATACAGTCGATCATCACCTGTTAAAAATTTCATTTTCAGATGATTTAACAATAAGCTTTGCACGGACTGGTTATTAGTCGTATTAGGAAAAGCTAGATGAAGTTCCAGAAATTCACATAAATTTTCGGTACTTCTTGAACATTTACCACAAAGTAAACAAGTGAGGATTTTTCCAGCAAAAGATTTACAAACACAAGACGAGATGGGTTGTACGGAATCATTCAGTCCAGAGCGGCTATTGTTTTGCTCACGAAGAGTATTCAACAAGAACCCCAAAAATTCGGAACAATCCTCTTGTTGTCCTAATTCCATTGATTCTTTCGGGAATTTCAAATCATTTTATAACATATCAGACAATGGAAGTCCGAACTATAAAATGCATTGAGTTTTACATTAGTGGAAAACAAAATTAAAACAAGCTGAAGGTGAAGCTAAAATACATTCAAAGAGTTTAAATTTTGATATAATGTTATCTGATATAATTTTGATCTATGTTAACCCTGATGTTATCGCTGAGATACTCGTCATAATTATAAACAGCCTTACTGATCAAATCAATTTTTTTTAACTATTTCTAGATTCCTGCTACCTCAGGCTCTTTATTCGTATGTCTTCTTTTCTCCTTGTTTTATGGTTATATATTGTATTAGAGCTCTATACCAATTCAGATTGTCTTAAATGTCTTGAACATATAATATACTATATCTCTCTCTGTCTCTCTCTCTCGATGGAGTGGTAACTCCAACTCTAACTTCAGCACAATAGACCAAGTTAATAAGAACACGTAGGTACTGCTCTTAACTAAAGGCCAAATACTCTGAATGAGGAGAGTGTCCCCATACAACAGTGTACCGCGTACTTCATCTAGATTCTGTAGCACATTTCATATTCCGGTTTTCAATACACTGCATCATTTTCATTCTCCCATAACTACTATATCTAGAAGTGTTAATAATATTCCTAGTGTAGATATATTTTTTCTAACGTTCAAACAATTCAGAAAAGAAATTCTTCGTTTCATTAAGAATTGATCTTACTATATGTATAATTATCATATTTCTAATTGTATACACCTGTAAATGGGCTTTTGGGCCTGCTGGATATATTGAATACATAAATAAATACTCGTATGGCATAAGTACATGAGGATGAAATGCTTATGTACTTATAACAGCATGAAATGCCATTATACATACACTCATGGCAATCCAACTTCAGAGTGTTGTCTGAAAGGACTTCAAAAAAATTCAACAGAGTTTGGACATGATGCTTACTTGGTAAGCGAAACACGCGTCTAGGGTGTTTTATTCTGGTGTGTAAATTTTCCCTATCAAGTTGGAACCAGCGCCCAAAAACAAATCATTCGTACTTTGGTACTTCCATATCATGATTTTGTTCAGGCCATCTGCATTTATATTTAGGATAATCACGAATACACCGAAATAAAATACTCACTTCTTTGCATTTTCTGTTATCATTTGAGTCCATACTAATGATATTTAATTTTTCAGGTGACGCACATGCTATCAGACGTCGCGATAGCTTTCCCTGCAGCTGTTTGGCTCACCCTATTCTTTGAAATGCCGTCCAATGAATTAGCAAATATGATGTTCAAAGTCAAAAAAAACTTCGAAAAAAAGAAAAACTGAGTACTGCCATATCGAATCTCAAAAGTACAATCATAATGAAAACAAAATATACAAATTATGTTCAATTCTTTTTTTCAAAAACTTTGTTATATCAGAAAGAATACGAGTAAGCATTGATAAAAAAAATATTTCTCAAAAATTCACCTTGAATACTTAAAAATACACCTCCGTCAGCTCTCAGCTCCTGATGATCTGAAAAAATTTCTTGAAAAGCCTTTACACAAAAAATAGATCTGAGTGGAAATTATAATTATATGCAAGTTTCTCTGCGGTTTATCCAAATTGATAAAAAAATAATAGCAAACGATTTTTGTAAACTAACACATTTTTGACTACTCGGTATTGTAAAAAAAAAGATCAATTAAAACAGCTTTCTACCACATTTTTGATCACATTTACAAACATAGATTGATAATAATAATTTCGTCTTTCAATTATTCTGTGATCTATCGAAAGCATTCGGCACGGTGTGTGGGGAATTTTTTGTAAACAAAATAGGTAATTACAGTTTTTCATTCAACATCATGAATTTGGTCAATTCTCACATGACGAAAACTNATTGTTTTTTGTTTTTGTTGTTTCTGTTGTTGTTTCATGTCTGTTCCCACGAGTAGCAAGGGAAGAGTTGTTCACCTCTGGCAGAGCCCCGCATTACCAGAGGTAGGCTGATTACAATGAGGTTTCGCCCGGTTCCCCAAAAGAATCGTTCGTGACCATGCGGCCATTCAACTGTCGGCACATTCCTTACATCTTAGCTTGGGTTGGCTGGTTCACGGTGGCATGTTTTGCGAAGGTTTTTGGGGGGTTTTAGTTCCCCTCACCCTACTTATTTCCGCCACTGACCAGAAGTCCGGCGACCCCTTCCGTAATGTCACATTGGCTTCCCCAGCAAGGCCTCCAGTCCCCTGGCCGTTCCCCTATACGCCACCTGGGGACGCGCCAGATAGCTAGCCCAACCCACGGGACTTCCACTTGGATTTCGAAATGTGTTATGTTCGCTAGACATAAGTTACCGGTGCTTGCTATAAATGGAGCTGAACACAAACACAACACATAGCATAAGTCTCTTTTAAAAACTCCACAGCACAGAATGTCATTATATGAAAAGTTCCCACAGTACAAGATGATCAATTGTTACAACAAGATGCCCAAATGGCTGGTATGAATAATCGATGCTAAGAATCATCGCACGTTAAAAGGCAAGTCCTTGGTAATCCTTAGCTCTCACAAGCTTCGTAATGGGGCGACATGTGGTTAACGGAAAAACACATTTTGACAGATTTCAACAGCTCAAGATGTTATCAATGAGAAATCAATAAGATAGTTATCAAGATTTCTTGAATGCCACACAGATCTCTTTATGTATTTCTAAACGGTATCAAAAATTTACCGGGTGTCAATTTAAAAACTTCTCATCCTTAATATCTCTGTTCCAGTAAATAATATCGAAAATCGTACAGACAAGTCAATTCATTTCGGAGGGGGATACTTTGAAGAGTTCATCAGATAGTGCGTAAACAAATGGTTGAAATCTGTTTTTGTTCTGACAGTTTTTTTTATATATCAACAAAAGAGTTCCCCTGATAACAAAAAGGAAAGGTTCGATAGTAAGATCACTTCATTTAGGCCAGTAGAATAACCGCAAAAACAAACACTTTCCATTTATGAAACATGTTCGTTCTACTTTGGGAATTACCAGGGTCAGGACTTCCGTGTGGACACTCTGTATGGTCAATATTAAATAAATGTTAGTTATCGACAATATACATTCTTGTCACGTGGTATTCAAGTTTGGCCCACCTTCAATGCCGAAATTATGAAACTAGTCACGAAATCATCCATTTGTGATTATCTGAAGTAACTAGTATAATATTATCTGGGTCTTACCAAAATTACGAAATTTCAAATGACAAAGGGAAAATATAATAATGGGCATCTCTTCGAATTGACAAAATAATAATGTACAGTGGTTTCTTGAAGTTTTCATGAATAATATAGAAGTTAACATAATAGCTGTGAGGTATAAAATATTTTCAAAAATTAACAATTGCCCAAATGAGTTAACAAAAACTATTTCAGTCTACAGTAATCAGATACACATCAAATTTTAGTGAGACATCAAAAGGTGATGGGGTCGATTGAACTCAGCTGTGGTCCTGCTGCTGGATGAACGAGAAACATCTACAAAACTGATCTCTGTAAGGTATCTTGCATAAATATCGGTCGCATGTAATGCAATGTCCAGCATGGTATTATTCGGGGAAGTAGTTGTTTTCCGACAAGTATTTACCAAAACCTACCTATCGTGTAGTTAAGTTTCTCGATTTCATAGTCACCAGACTCATTTTGATCATCATTTTTGAACATTTGTATGGAATATCGGTTGCAGTCGTCTCCAAATAAGTGACCCAAAATAAACTTCTTTGAGATATTCGTTTTGCGGCAGAGGTTTTCAGTGTCACTATTTTTCGGGTTTGAAGGCCGTCGAGGTTGTATGAACTTCAGGATTTATAAACCTCTGAGGAATACAGCCACTCGTACCAGCGAAGCATCAGGAAGAAATTTCAAAAACGATTCTGAGTTAGAATACGTTTTTTAGCAATTGGAATAGATTTTTTTCGAAATTCTTCAGTGTTCTGGTCACTTGGTGTGAAATTTGTAACGAGTGGGTACAAATTGGACACTTTTGAAGGGAAACTCCTATTTCCGAACTAGCAGATGAAAACTGATGACTTTGCCTGAGGCTCAAATTTTATGACAAACTAATTGATGAAAACCACATGTCGATATCCATCATCGTTTCTAAGTTACAGCATGTTTTTCGAAAATGTGCATTTTAGAAAATATGATGTAACTTCTTTTTTCTTGTCACAAATTCCTCGTTTCTATGAAAATATTTCCCAAGCGCTTTTTTCCGTAAAATTCAATGGTGTGAAAAACTTATTTTTTCAAATAAGATGTCAACAGTTATTAATGGAAAACTATTTTTAATGAGACATCCTGTATATTCCTGTTTATTTCAATTGCACTTGAAATTACCTTCTGCTAGAGTCATCTTTGAAATATAGAGATTTTAGGTTTTTTCATGTAGACTTTGAAACGCTCAGAAATCGAAACTCGTGCGAGCTAAAGATTAACGAGGTCTTACCTTCCAACGTGTGGTTCCTAGAATGGGTTGAAAGATAGCAAGTGGAAATCGATCGTTCAGACTAGGGCTTGAACCACCGACCAACACGGCAGTCGATTCGAGAGAGTGAACAAAGCACCCGCATCGAACCGTCTGGCTACCGACCAATATGTTTGAGAACTGAATAAAAACCACTAATCGAAGGGCTTCTTACCGCTCAAATCAAAATTTGACAGCTACCAGTAAAGATTTACATTCTGTTTTATCGCCGCATCGTCCTAAGCCTACATGATCAAAGTGTGCTTTTCGAAGTCTAAATGAAAACACCTGAAATATCTGTATTTCAAAGATAACTCTAGCAAAACCTCAAGTGTGCTGCATTTTTAGAAAGGTGCTTTTAATCTCTATTGAAATATGCGGAAATATACAGGGTGTCTTATAAAATAATTAAAATTGTTTCACATCGGTAACTATTAATATCTCATTTGAAAAAAATGTTTGACGCCATTGGATTCTACGTAAAAAAGTGTTTTGGCAAAGAAACCAAAAAAAAATTGACAGGAAAAAAGTTACAGCCAATTTTTGAAAATGCACTGATGTAACTCAGAATCAATGATAGATATCGATATGATGAATTTCACTAGTTCGGACTTCCATTGTCTACTATATAAAATGATTTGGAATCTCTGAAATAACTGAAAAATAGGAATTGAAAATGAATAGCTGAAAATAACAATTATATTAAGCAAAATAAACCTGAAATGAAATAATAGTGAAATAAAATACAAGTAAAAATAGAACAATTGAATAAATAAAAATAAAGAAATGAAAAAAGAAAATAAAAATAAAAAGTTGAGAGATTCCAAGTCACGTTAGTTCACGACGTTTCGATTGTTAGTATCTACAATCGTCTTCGGGTGATGACTGGACTGATTCCTCCGAGAGATGACTATTTATAGGTCGTTCAAGTACTTTCACTTATCCACGCTTTCCATTTTCCGCTTTACTGGTTCCGTGGGAGATGACCGTTTGGCGGGATTTGGCCATTTTTCGTTTGATGATAGGTTTCTATATGTTGCGTATTTCCACGCTGGCTTGGCGGAATACGTTGTCGGACAACATGTACGCGGCTTCCTTGAATTTTTTCCTAAACCAATGTTCCTCTCTGTGCAAGATCTCAGCTGGGACCACTAGATGTTGTGTTGACGAGTCCAAACATGCTCTGTTATACCGGATTTTCTGTTTTCTCCTCGCTGTAAATATTTCTTGTGCTCAGCAGCACCAATATAGGATTTTCCGCACTCAAAGGGTATCAAGTAAATGCAATTCTTGGAATTGCAGTCCGCGTTCGGTGACCTGGTTTTTGTGAGGCTGCTACGGATAGTGTTACCGGATCTGAAGCAGGTTCTGATGTGGTACTTGAAACCAATTCTTCTTATCCTCTCCGATAATCCTCTGATGTAGGGAAGTGCAAGCACTGGTTGTAACGGCTTATCTTCCTTGCGAGGCTCCTGCTGTCTTCTAGCCAAATTCTTTTCTACCATCGCTTTGGAGTAGCCATTCCGTTGAAGATCATTTTTGATGATGTCTAGTTCCTTCTCGGAGACCTTCCTTCGTATTACAGAGCCCAAAAGTACGGTCTAATAGAGTCTTGATGATTCCTCTTTTAGTCGATTGATGGTGGTTGGATTCGTGGTTCAGATACTGCCCCGTATGAGTGGGTTTTCGGTATACAGATGTTTCCCACTTAGTGTCGGCCCTCTTCACCAAAACGATATGCTGTTTCCGTCATTAAGTTTGTGATAAAATTTGACCCACAGTCACAGCCATTAGCCATCTATCTAGTTTGAAAACAGGAGTTTATCTTTGAAGGTGTTCAATTGGGCCCACTCTGTACATTCTCTATTTCCATCAAATTTCATCCTGCATTAGTAAGCCTCAAACTGATCATTTAATCATTCGGGTATAGTTACCATATTCTGTACGAATCGATTTTCTCTGCATTGTTGCCTTGAACTACTTGCTCCTATTTGATTTAGGTTGTACTGATGTTGCAAATTATTTCTCGCTATTTACCTTAATCGGTAAAGGTAAACAACTCTTTCGGTCGTAAATTAAGTACGGAATCATTATTCTACTTGTGGCCAGCAAAACGTAACGTGTCTTATGAATTTTTATCGAGATCTTTTTACAATTTCCCATTATTAAAATTGATGCAAATTGTAAAACGTGATAATAATATCAAACGCAATTTGTGTGCTTTCGTAAGAAAGGAAATTATTTTCTTTTCCAATTCACAATTATGTTACTCGAATTCATTTACCTATAGTGTCAGGGTGTTTATATAGATTTACCCCCATAGGTCAATGTCTCATGTATAACGAAAAGTTAATTCAGAATGATTAGGCCAGAAATAGTACGATGAGGGTAAGTAGACACACAGATACAGATACAGAGTGAACCATGGCCTACCATAAGTACCGCACCCCGATGGCTTACAACATTAGTGTCGTTTAGAACCCTTGATTGCATTATATTACTTGTTTGCCTTTTTTTTCGAATACCTTATCTCTCTAACATAGACCCTTGGTTTGCCCAACTTGTGGATGTCTCACCTGCCATGGTTTATTCTATGTACTATGAGCAGGTAGGTGGATTCAAACTGAGTGGTTCTGTTTCACCCTTCACTGCAATCTGCTTGGGTTTATTGAGGGTTCAACCTATTCAGGCTCAGCTAAATATAGGCTCTTTCAAATATTTGAAACCTCATGGCCTGAATTTCTTTGTAAAAAATGAACTATTCCAATCTATCACCATAGGAATTAAACAGGACCAACGGACAGCATTCCTAGAAGTACTCATTGAAAGATATGGTGCTAGACTAACACACAAAGTGTACCATGCAGATACCTGCACTATCAAGCAACCATCCTAGTCAAAAGAGAGAAGTCATCTCTAAGATATCTAAGAATCTCTAAGAATATGTGAACCAAAGCATCTCGAGGAAGAACTGGAACGTCTTCAAATGACCTTGAGATCAAATGGATATAGTGTACCCGAGATCAACAAGGGGAGGAGATTTAGATGGTTGCACGTGTGTATCTACCAAATATCTCTAGGATCCCAGACAGAATTGAAAAACTCTTGGGAAATCACAACGTCAAAACGGTTTCCAAAGCCACTAAGAGAATACAACGAAGACACAGTTCGGCTGAAGGAAATTCAAAAGATCCATGGGAACAAGGCTGAAGGAGCATAAAAAGACTGCAGACTAGGCCGAACGGACTAGTCGGCTGTGGCGGAACATGCACTCAGTGAAAGAAACCACAGGATTATGTTCAAAAACTCATTGCCACCCGACCAGGGATACCATAGCCGACTGGTATGGGAGGCAAAAGAGATCCACAATCACACGGATAATTTCAACAGAAAAGAAGAAGCTGTGAGCCGAATATGGAATCCCAGTAAAGGAAGTTCAAGAATAGCAAACGACAAGTAGAAAAAGGTCGACAAATGTTATTGACAATTTACCTAATTCAGTTACAGGTATTAGCATACCAAACTACCGGAATTGGCAAGAATACGACGGCGTTCAAACCCGAAAAATAGTGACACTGAGAACCTCGACCGCGAGAGCCTTAGCCATTTTGTCAATCTATTCCAAAGTTAGCAGACCATGGTCTCAATCGAGGATCTGATGAGCTATCAGAATGCAAGTACCTTTAAGTGAGTTGGGAAGAAGGACTCCTGTAACGCATTTCAAGGAGTCGCTTTCCTATGTAATCTTACTGAATGTGAACTTGCTACAAAAATATGCTTTGTATATAACGTAGTTGATAAAGGAATCCATCTGTCTATTTGTCATGGCTGCAGATCCTCTTAGGTATTCTATAGCCATCCAAACCATATTGGACAGCTCTGAAGTCACACCTTTGAACCATATTCAGAAATTTCCCTTACTGCAGTCATAATAGCAAACTGAAAATACTCCAGTCGATTGGTCCATAGTGAGGTTATCGAATGTGCAAAGTGCAAGAATTCGCCTTTAATGACCGAATCAGCCTTTTCATGATAGGGGAACTGTAAGTCATCCGTACTTGACGATATGTCAGATTAAGTCATGCTGGGCTTTTTCGCCTATGATTTGGGTACATCGTCATTTGACAGTTAGCGTTTGCTGGCCTATTCAAAAAGAGTTTTTTTTCTTCTGATGTAAGTTCTGCTTCTCTTTCTCAAAAATGTGATATGGGGCAAGATCATTAGATCTAGCTTTTGCGGAGGCGATAAGTCGCTTTCTTGCTGCACCACCTAGTCTCACAGTTTTGCTAGCATTATCAAGAGTTAGAATGCTGAGATATCACAGGGAGAACAGTTGAGTCACTCAATCGACGACCATTTCCTTTTAGACTAAGGATCAGATTCTTCATGGTCCATAATGGGTCCACGAGTAGATTGGGAGAAGAGTCCCATTACGGCATAGTCCCGAATAATCGTGATAGTTTCACAAAAAACGCAAAAAGTGTTTCGCTATACAATAGCTTTTTCAGGCATGTCTTTATTGGGAATATTTTGAATTCTGACTTTTCTATTACAAACGGGCAATGTTTCTTTGGGAAGTTGAAATAAAGTTGAAAGTGATTTCGCAAATGCTCCAAAATATGCAGCATGGGTTTGAAGATATTTTGCATGTTGATATGGAGGTTGGAGTAACACTTGACTGAAAAAGAGAGATTTTGAAAATCAAACCAAACCAGCAATAAATATAGGTTAGATCCAAAGTGAGTGGGTCTTTTCGACCCTCCACCGCAACCCGCAAGGGTTTATTGTGGCTCACACCTATTCACACTCGACCAAATAAACCCAGCTTCTTAACGAAGCCGATTAGTTTTTATGGTGAGTGGTCTTTCAGGTCAGATGGAAAAAGTACGGCTCTGCCGAACTCTAAAACCAGATTCGGTCCCCAGCGGGGCAGGCACAAAGTGTATGCTCTGCTGTTCCATCGTTAATGAGATAGTTGGATAGTCAAGGTGCAAGATTCCCACCTTGATACCCGCGACAACCTTCCCATATGGAGGTTTTTGCACGTCAGCTACACCTGACGCGTACGCCGCTAGAGAATTTGGAAGTCCCACGAGTGGCTAGGGAAAGTAGGACAATCACGGCAGAGCCCCGCATTACCGTGACAAGGCGATGCTACGACGAGAGGGCGCCAGGTATCTCAAAGGTTCCGTACAGACAGCTGATAGGCTCAGTGTTATTCATCCTCTCGGCACGGATACACACACCTTAGGATTAGGCCATCGTTGGGATGCCATTCAGTAAGGGAATAACAGAACCACAAGTGACCGTATCCAGCGGGGCTACGTGGAAGCAGGCATCCGATGGTCGGTTTGCTCAACCTTCACATCTCAATCCAAGGCACTCGCCAAAAGCAGCATGCACAGTGGTTCAGGCATTGAAAAAATATATGTTTAAAATATGTTTTTTTCGTTAACCAGTTATCGCACCTCTACGAACGACAACCCTCAGAAGTCGAAACTTGTGCGAGCTAAGGACTAACAAGGTGTTACCTTTTAACGTGTGATTCCTAATACGGGTTGGACGATAGCAAGTGAAAATCGAGCGTTCAGCCTGGGGCTTGAACCATCGACTAACACATCGGCCGATTGACTGAGTTAACAAAGCACCCACATCGAACCGCCCGGCTAGCGACCGGGATGAACAAAGACAGCCAACCCGACAACAATAAATGTAAGTTATTCTTTAAAAGAATCGAGGATAACATTTCCGATTCGAAAATTCAACGTTTTGCAAAGATTTTCAGAAACGTTTTCCCCTTACAAACAAACTTGGCGTGTATATATATTACGTTACGATTTCAATTGAACACTCCATGAATAATATGTGTTTTTGTTTTCATGATCTGACGTAATTGTTGAATAAATAAATAAACTTTCTGTATTCGGTTACGATAATTAAAACCGTTCGTTGGTGGTTACAAAAAATACGGGGTTTTTGCATCTGCAACAGTTTTAAAAAGTGTTACTTATTATTCCGTACTTGTCTCTGGGAACAAATAAACTTATATTATGGAAATTTTCGTATTTTTTAGTACTGATGCAAATTTGTATTGTTCCGGGATACACTCGGCCATAAATCTCTTTTCCTTGTCCCACCTTTGTCACGGATTACATTGAAACTAAAAAGCAAATCAGAGTTGCTTCAGCTGGTGGTGGTTACTATAATCAAGGTACTCGATCTCGTCCTAGATTTCATACACATTCAATAGTTGACATTAAAAAATGTGGCCACACTAGTTGAGTAGAGAGAATGAACAATGAAGAGTGTTGTACTGAGTGTTCTGTTATTGCTTTGGATAAATATTTTTACGTGTTCCGGAGAGTATGAGGCGGTTTCAGGTGAGTAGCTGTATAAGTTTCAGTGGAAACCACCAAAAGCTATGAAGAAATGTTCTAAACTGTTTCTATGGTATCGGAGGCGAACCAAATCTATGTTTTTTTTTAAAGTTTTATCAACTTTTCTATTTCTAGAACCTCCCTTTTTTAAGATAGAAATACGATTCCTTTCCTGATTTATCAGTCACGTGTATGCAGTTTTATCAAATCTCATCTATATTCATATGAACATTGAATTATACAAAAAACACTATTTCTTATTCAGTTTGTACTCTATACACTAATGAAAAGGGTGAATTCTAATAGATTTGATGAGACAAAGAATGTTTCTGGTATTCCAAATCATTTAATCAGGGATAGTTCATCTACCAATTTAACAGGGTTCGAATATCCAAAACACCATTGCAATTCTCTTATATTTTGAACAGATAAAGAATATGCATCTATGCCAGTGTTATTCCATTTGGACAATTATGACCAATGCATGCTACTTGAGGATGAAGCATTATTTTGTACTTTCACATTCAAGTTGCAACCAACAAGTCAGAACAGTTCTGTATGGCAAGTTATCCAGGTGAGCAATCATAGAAAAATAAACCGTAGAAAATATAGTCTTAACTCCCATCTTTTTTTTCAGAAAACCATTTCGGACCCTAGGAACTATAGGCATGATCTTCTTAGGCATGGAATCTGTGTCCCGACTTCTTGTCCAAGAATAACAGACGGACTTCATGAGTTCACAGTAAACGAGACTATAGAGGCATGTTATAATCGAAAATACCAATCTTTGGGTCTGAGGGGAACTATAAAAGATTTGAAATGTGACTCAAGTAGACAAAATGAATTTTATGATCAATATGATATCGTTTTTGCGTGAGTTTCACAAAATTATTCATTATCTAATGTAGCTAACTTTTTCTAACAACGCCATCTATTAGTATTATATTGTAGTGTGTATAGGACCTGATACTAATCCATCCCTAGCACTGTTAGTTTTTCAATACTTTATACTTTTAGGATATTTTTTATATCTTAAACAGTTTCGGTCATATTTGCATCGATTTGCGAAGACTCAGCAAAGAATCAGAAAAAAGAATTATATGAGAAATTGAGCAATACTTTACGTTTTATTTATTATCCAATGTAGCTAACTTTTTCTAATAACGCCATCTATTAGTATTGTACTGTATTATGTATAGGACCTGATGTATCCCTAGCACTGTTGGGTTTTCAATACTTTTTACTTTCAGGATATTTTTCATATCTTATACAGTTTCGATCATATTTGTATCGATCAACTAAAGCTCAGAAAAAGAATTTTATGAGAAATTGAGCAATATTTTACGTATTATTCATGACCTAATGTAGCTAACTTATTCTAACAACGCCATCTATTAGTATTGTACTGTACTGTGTACAGGACCTGATACTAATGCATCCCTAGCAATGTTAGTTTTTTAATACTTTTTACTTTCAGGATATTTTTCATATCCTACACAATTTTGGTCATATTTGCATCGATTTACGAGGGCTCAGCAAGGTATCAGAAAAAAGAATTTTATGAAAAATTGAGCAGTACTTCAAGTAAGTTGTAAACAGATTTCCAACGACAGATTTCCAACTTTCAAAGATGTGTTTTTTTCAGCCGGAAAAATCATAGCAGCCTTCTCCATTCCCAAAAACTGGGAACGTTTGAGGTCGACCAATGAAAGTCCTGATACTAAAAAACTGAGATCCATTCAAGGAATACGTTTCTACAATATGATATGCGTCATACTGTCTCATACAATCATGATGACTTTCGCTGTGCCAGTAGCCAATCCAAAGTATTCCGAAAATGTAGGTGGAATTTCACTGGTACATCAGTGCATGATGATCATAAGTGTTTCCTGATTCTTTTCTTCAATTTATCTTGTGTGATAACTAATACTTAACAAAATGAGATCACTGACAAGTGAAAGTCATTGAACTGAGCTAACAAATAGAATAGAATAGAATTAACATTTTTTCTAATCACAATGTAGACATTTTTCATAACTCTGAAACTTAGGACATATCCATTTTTTTGTCTAGGGTTGGTACAACCACACAACGTTTTCCAGTTTGAAGTATATATCCCCCACTTTCCTTTCTAGTCGCTTGTTAATCCAGTCGTTGGGCTTCCACTTCGTTCCCTGATCTTCCCAACAAAATCATTACATGCATTTTCTTCAAGGTGTATCGTTTGGGGTCGATTCAGCACTAGGCTGAGCTCTTTCACTGAGTATCAGCTGAGCCTATTTCCTCTAGGTAACTTCTCTTGGATACTATTCACCAATTAAATCAAACACCTTCGTTGAACCAGCTGCCAGCAAACCTTAAATCTTCATCTTTTTTTTGGCTAATGCTCATCCAAACTATATCTTCCATTTCCAGAACCACGTAACTTTTGCTTTCCATATGCCATTTCTCCTCTAGCTGGGTTCGCTCATCGGTACTTTCTGCCTATATTCGTATCTTCTCTCTAGAGTTACTGTTGATCTGTGCCTTATCTTGGATGTTAATTACTTGTGACTACTGTCTAATGTTTACAATGTTCTGACTCCCCTGAAATCGATATCGTTTGCAATGTTTTGCTTTGACCTTGAAGAATATTTTTTCTTCGCCGCAGTATCATGTCACTCTAGTCGTCTCAGTTTTCCACAGTTGTAACAACCTATCTTAGGTATGGATTAAATGAACTCGTTGATTTTCTCTTTAGACATGGGAAAAATACTAACACAGTTGTTTTCAATAAATACTCTCTGGCAGAAAATGTTAATTACAGGTAATGGTGGATGGTATCTATCTTTGAAGCGTATTGAAACATATACAGTGTGTAAATGCCAAATGTAATAAATTCATTATTTCGGTTACGGCACATATTTTAACAAAATCCCGTTTGAAAGGTCTGTTCATTCTCTACTCAAAAATGTTATCACTTTCAAGTTTATTGCAACAATCAAGATGAAGTAAATTAAAATCATGTGGTTACCGAAATTCGATAAAAAACACTAAAAACTTATTGCAATATATTCAAAACTCATTTCATGATGAGGTATTGATAATAAAAAAGTAAGCTAAAACTATAGCAATGTTTTTTTTAGATGGTATCCTTTAAAAAACTGTAAATAATATCCATGGCAACGTTAGTTATAAACGCCTTGTTAACTTGTTTTGTATGTTACAACATTAGTTGTCAGTATTTTAATTTAAGTTTGAAGTTCGTTAACTTCAAGTCTGACAAATGGTTAGATTATCGGAAATGCATAAAATAACAGTGTTACAAATGATTGGTTACGGAGATAAAAGCCGAACACAACAAGAAGTAGCTCGCCTATTTCATGATAAGTTTTCTAATTTACCGCCCAAATCTCAAGGTACAATAAGCAAAATTAATGTTGCCACAAGCTATTTTTTGATCGAGGTAGATTTCTGGAAGGGAGCGGGGTATACCTATGATTGTCGTTCTTTGTTCTATGATAAATTTGACGATCCTAATCAAAAACATAAGTCACATGTCATCGCATCCAAATTTGGGATCGAAAATATTAGCTTCCATGTTCTTATGATAGTCAACATTGCAGTCCTCAAGTTTCTTTTTTATAACTTCAAATAATTCGGACCCATCCTTTACTTCCTCCGCAATGCACAATGATTAGTCGCGTTCCTTTGTTTGCAGGCTTGTCAGGCGTACACATTCTCGAACCATCAGTCCACCCTTTCGTAACAGTGTCGTGAGTGTTATACCAAGTTTCATCCAAAAAGAAAATTGGCCATTGTTCTTGTCTATATTTAGTTATTTGTTACGCAATTCCACTATTCTTCTGCTTTTCATAACTGTTTGACGTTTGTTTATTATTTTAAATCTAAATATTAGTTTCTTTACCCAATTCTAAAGAGTTTTGTCACAGCAGCTCACATTATTGCCGGAAATATCCAATTTATTCCTTATGATTTCTGTTGTTGGAATCTCATGGCTTGTGTAACAGTCGTATATTGTTTTCTTCAATGATTTTATCAGATGAACATCTAAAGTTTTTAGTAATTCCGTATCACATCGCGTCTTGCGTTCATAAGGTTTGTTTTTGGCTATTTTACATCACATCATTTTACATTCTTTTGCTTCATATCTGAGCGGGGTAAAATTACTTGAGGGGGGCGAGAGGGTCTAATTGAATTCAAGAGGGGTGGAACTACCTCGTACGGGGTAGCTGTGGCAACAGTGAGCAAAATAAAGAAGCAGTTTCGCGAGCTTGGTCATGTGGGACAGAAAAAAAAGCAGCTGCCAATGCAATGAGCGATGAACTGAAATTAGATGTGATGCTTGAGTTTGAGGAAAACCCACATACATCTAGTAGACAGGCATCCACTACATTCAATGTTGGCCATACATCGATAGTAAACATATTAAAAGAAAATAAAATGCATCCCTATAAAATGATACCTACTCAGCTCATGGAAGACGATTTTGATAGAACGTTATGTTTTCTGATGAGTGTACTTTGTCTCTTAACGGTCATGCTGATCGGCAAAATTGCCGCTACTGGTCAATGGATAATCATCACTGGATGAGAGAAGAATGCACGCAATACCCTCAAAAGGTTAATGTTTGGGCAGGGATTGTAGGAACCCATATCATTGTTTTTTTTTTCATTGAGAACAACTTGAATGACGATAATTATTTGGCACTACTTCATAATGATGTCATTCCAAGTTTAGCAAATTTATATCCTGATCCAGGAAACCCTCAAGTTCCAGAAGATGCGATATGGCAGGATGGAGCACCACCACATTACCATTCATTCACCTACACAGTAGGTTCATGGTCTGACACTCATCAGACAACAACTTCCTCCTGAAGATGATCACTTGGTGATTGAAACATTTGTCGAAGTGTTTGAAATAACGGATTGGTATTGAAATAAAAATCCAGTTATATTCATAACCACACCAAAAGTTTAAAACAGTACATCACAAGAGCTCCCCTCCTGGCTGGGGGCGTTGGATTATATCCTACAGGTGGCAGTGCGGGGATCTTCTCAGAAGATTTTTCTATTATTATTTTCTATTATTTTTTTCTATTATTGATAATCAATCCTTTCAGAGTATCATTCCTCGAACAAAGCTGAAGCGAACAACAAGCAACATATCTTTCATCGCCCCCTCTGCCCGTAGACGAGGTACTAACCAACCGAACGGTGAAATAAATTTCACCTATAGTAAGCGGGCATACTTGAAGACTGGCTATAAATCACTTTTGTTATGTAGTTACCGAAAAAAAATTATTTTGATATTTTTTTGAAAATTGCAATGAAAGATTTACTCTTCTATTCTAGATTAACTCCAACTCTTGCAGTGATGATAGCATTCGAAAGTACATGGTTAATTCATTTGGGACAAGGGCCAAACTGGGACATGGCTATAGCTGAAGAACACAGAAATTGTCGAAAAAATTGGTGGACGAATATAATATACATGAATAATTACATCGATAGTAATAATATGGTGAGTGACCCAAATCGTTTATGAAAGTTATTTTCAGGTTTTTCGGCCGTGGTCTGCAGATTTGTATGCCTGACGTTTCATCTACTACTACGGTAGACATCAGCAAAGGAGATGTGGTAACGGTCGCAATGCTAGAGTTAGTGCTAGAGTTGATGTTCCCGTTTCAAACGCGGTAATTCCGCGTTACACATTATACGAAGGAAAGTGAGGTGTTTCTATCATCTAGATTCAAGACAATCTGTGGTCAAATACAGCTTTTGGATAACAGTCAAATCCACCCTATAGCAAGCTTTTTCTTTCATTTTTATATAACAATTCCAATGAAATTAACTACTGAAAGATAACATGAGTATCGAACGGCTGAAAACGAAAACGATAAGACGTTTTTCCAATATCGGGTGTTACATCCTCTAGCGTGGACAATAGATTCCATTCTCCGAGGCATTCCACGAATAAGCGTTCGAATATAGCTTAAGTTAGGTTAGGTCTAAAGTGAGTGCGTCTATTTGACCCTCCACCGCAACTCGTAAGGGTTTATTGCGGCTCACACCTATTCACACTCGACCAGATAAACCCAGTTTCTTAACGAAGCCGATTAGTTTGTGTGGTGGGAGGTATTTCAGGTCAGATGGTAAGAGTATGGCTCTGCCGAACTCTAAAAACCTAATTCGGTCCCCAACGCGGCAGGCACAAAGTATGTGATCTGCTGTTTCATCATTTTCCAAATAGAGGCAACACACACTGTCTTCTGACAGTCCATGTCTCTGCATATGATGATTCAAATGACAGTGATCTTTGAGAAGGCCTCTTAGATATCGTAGTTCATCCCTACTGTAGTTTAACAACTGTTTGGTATCAAGCTTCGAAGAGTGAATAAAGGCCTTGTAGTGAGCCAATCCGGAAAGATCCTGCCAGAAGTCCATGAATCCCCTTGCCATCCAGGTGTTCAATCTTTGTTTGGTAAAGCCTAAAGCAATGCCAATTACAGGTTCTGGTCAGATGAAGCTACTTGCAGCACCTTCCTTTGCAAGGAAGTCAGCATCCTCATTTCCTTCCAGGCCACTATGACCAGGAATCCAGACTAGAGACAATCTGTTGAGTCTTCCTATCGAGGAGAATCGTTTTTGGCCATTTGCTACCAATTTAGACGTTGCTCGGTAGGAGCCAAGAGCTTTCAACGCCGCTTGACTGTCCGAGAATATTTTTATTGACTTGTGTATGAGGTTGGATTCTTCCATCTCTCCGCACACAATTCAATAGCGTAAATTTTCGCTTGAAATATAGTCGCATAGGTTCCTAGGCAGATTGATATCTCTGTTTGCGACTAAAAACACCTGCACCAGAAGCGGAAGGTGTTTTTGATCCATCTGTGAATCAACAACTATCTGCTCTTAATATTTCCTACTACCGGAGGATGGAGTCCTCTCCACTCGGGAACAGTACTTTATGAGGCAGTTCGAAGTTGACAGTTGGAGGCATAAAGTCAGAGGTCATTATCAGAATGCTGTGACTTCCAGTGTCAACCAACAGTCTGTTGCACTCTGCATTAAATTGATTTGTGCATTTGGAAATGTCCATCTAACCTCTCTCTTCAGAAAATTGTGGCGAGGAGGTAGATCTAGAAGGATCTCCATGGCCGCTGACGGTATGATACTGATGGCCAGACAAGCCTGTCTCTGTAAGCCAGAGCCGTCTTCTATAAAGCCTTCAGCCACCAGGCAATTACATTGTGATCAAGTGGTCTCACAATCATTACATAAATCCAATGGATCTGTTTGGGACCTAAATCCCAAGTTTTACCATAAATCTTTCGACATGTCCATAGGGACAGTCTGGCTTTGTGTAAAACTTTTTCCAAGTGAGCGTTCCAGGTGAGTTTTTTATCGAGGACAATGACAAGATATTTCACCTCCATTCCAAATGGACGACCTCACCATTGAGGGAAAGTGGCGTTAGATCGGCCAATTTTCACCTCCTGGTTAAGGAAGCGTTCGAATATACTCCTGGGGCAAATCATTCCGCTTCTCTATGAGAGCAATAAAGAGTTCATTTGTATTCATAGGTGGTATTTGAAGACTGCTTCCTGGATAGTCCCATACATGCTCAATAAAATTTGGATCAAAAAGCTATATTACACCAAATGGTGTTTTGACTCAGATAAAAGGAACATATATTTATTTTCCTCATATAATGTGTATGAACATGACTTCATCAGGAAATCGTTTTGATGTGAATTATGGGATAAATTTCCTTCCATTTATTAAAAAATATGAAAACCCTGCTGAAACTAAAAAAGTTCAAAATTTGAAAAGTGAAACTGGAAGCTCTGAATTGAAATCAAGCACTTTTTCCAATATCCAGAACTGCAATACTCTTTTTGACACTCGTTTCACCAACCAAGTCCCATTCTCCTGAATATGTCAATTTGGTTGATAAAACGCCCGTTGAGAAGAGTATTGCAGTTCTGGTGTTCAAGGAAAGGGCTTTCTTCGGATTTGAGATCGAAATTTGTTAACATTTTAAGGTAGCCATTCTTTATGCACCTAAGTGTACGTGGTTACAGGTTATAACATTTATATACGAAGTACTGATTACAATAATATTATGGATATTTCAAGTATTTCCACTCTCTTTTATAGTGTCTTCATCAAACTTGGTACCTTGCTGCTGACACTCAACTTTACACCTTATCCCTATTTCTACTGATGCTGATGTGGAAGAATCAAGACAAAATAAAGATAATTTTGGGAAGTTTCATTACTTTAGGACTGCTTGTACAAGGAGCAGTTGCATTTTTCAAAAACTATGATATAATTATTCGCCAATATGCAGAGTAAGTTCATATTCATTCATACACATTCACGGCTATATACCCTCCCAACAATAATTATTCAATAGTTATAGATGGTTGTAAGACTCGAGAAGATATTGAAAAATACCCCAAATTCTTTCATAAGGCCCAGAACTTCAATTTGCCTTCTAAAATCAGGATGTTAGCTATACAAGAGTTAACCAGCCAAAAACGATGGGGAACTATTTATATTGCAGGAACTGGCAACACTAATGTCAACAGGTAAAATACAACACCATAATAAAGTTTGAAATTTTTTAGCATAAACGTACTCACAACATTTTGATGTACAAGTTCTATTTGTTTCGTTTACGGTGAGTTAAGAAAATTAATTTGACCAAAAAACAGAAAATTTCTAAAAAAGATTTTCGTTGGATTATTTTTCAAAACTTTCGACGTGGATTATCTCAACAAAAATGTGTCGATGAACGCCATAATTTGTATGGCGACAAAGTATAAAAAAACCACAGTATATCTCTGGTATAGTGAATTCATTCGTGGTCATATTTCAGTCGTCGCCGAACTCCGTGAAGGTTGTCCAAAATCGGTTGTTGTGCCACAAAACATCGATGCAGTGCGTGAACTGATAATGCAAGATCGTCATGTGACATTTTATGAGAGGCATCCTTGCACATTAGTTCCACTTCAATACATTCGATTTTGCATTAATACTCAGTTGTAAAAAAATGTTCTCGTTGAATATCCCATAATTTATCAATCGCTCTAAAAAAGGATAGCGTCAAGTGGTGTTCGACCGTAGTGCTTCAAAAGACATGTATAAAATCGTGACAGGTGACGAATCATGGAACAAAACAGCAATCGACCGTGCTGTTATTCCAAGACGAGCTGAATACAACAAAAGTTGTTCGTGGAAGAAGCACAGCGAAGCAAAAGGTCGCCTGTTCACAAACCACTTCCTCTATAGACGCTTCAAAGCATCTCCGACCATGGTAATGGTCGGAGATGCTTTTGTAGTTCGTTATGACCACCTGTAGAGGTCGCAGCAATAATAATTTGTCAATGCTGTCAGCTGGCAACGATTTTCAGCTCTCTCTATAACTTAGAATCGAAACTATATAAAAAGCGGGAAACTTGAACGCAACAGCTCAACCATTGAAACTTTTCCTAGAATCAATTACCCTAACACCAAACTGATATTTTTTGCACTCGACGCGCGTTTCGCTAACAAGGTTAGCATCTTCGGATGAAAAAAATTGATACAGTATCAATTTTCTTTTAGAACGATATACCATTATTTGGTGTAGAGAGCACTCCCATTTTCTGAATTGTTGTAGATATTTTTCAGGATTTGTAAATTTGTGTAGCATTGCAGATGCTAAATACTTTGAAATGTAGCATTTCCTACACGACATAGTTGTAAACGAAGTTTACAAAAAATTTAAAACAAATTATATGAAACAATGTAATAACACTGTATAAATATGTTTATATGAGATACAAACTAACTCATCGGGGAACACTAATAATAATAAATATAGTTTAAAAATACTAAAAAACACGCTTTCACAGAACATCGAACTAAAAAGTTGAACATATTTTTTTTAATAAGATTGAAACAATAACGACCAGAAAGTACTAGTGTTATTGTGAAAAAAGCGCTTGATATATAAAAAATATGGCAAAAAGCGCCCACACTTTTTTCACAATAATACTACTATTTTTCGTTCGTTATTGTTTCAAGCTTATTTAAAAAAAATATTTTTAACTATTCAGTTCGATGTTCTTTAAAAGCGTGTTTTCGATCCAATTCGACCTGATAACCGAGTTGTGTGGGACATGAATTCCGACAATCACAAATCGGGAGTCTCGAACACTGATTCCGACGCCTTTTAAAACTGACAAACAGCTACTAATGTTCATCACATACCTCTTTTAATATCTTCTTGTTCTTCTTTTATCACTGGAATCCTGTTGTTACGTGATATACAGTGAACTCTATACTACGTATATACGTATAGTATACATTTCACTAGTGATATATACTTTGCAGAGACCTCTACAGGTGGTCACAACGAACTTCAAAAGCATCTCTGACCTTGATCATTTGCGTGAAACGTATATAGAGTAAGTGGTTTGTGGTCATGTAGCCACTGTTCCGCTTGAGAAACGCAGAACGGTCAATTCTGAGTGGTACACGACCATTCGTTTGCCGGAAGTCTTCAGATAAATTCCTAAAACTAACCGCTGAAGACGAATCATTCTCCATCATGACAATGCGACAAGAGGAATGAAGAAACTACTTTGACAAAACGTTTTAACGAATGCAAAAGTGTATTGTTCATCAAGGACAATATTTCGGATAAGAATAAAGACAGTTCAATTAAAAACTGTTTGTTATTATTTGTTATTCCTGAAATATAAATAGTACCCCACGTATATACTAACTCATTGGTCCCATTCTACAAGTCCATTTGTCAGAAACGAAATATTCATGAGACAAGTAGTGAACAGAGTTTTGAAAATAAAACTCAAATCCCAGAAATCTTGGTCAACATGAATCAAGTGATAAAATTATATCCAAAATTTTTGAACAAGAGTTTATGAAAAGGGGCCAATGAAATTTTGTATGTTTTTTCATTTCACTTCTTTTTTACTTCCGTCTGAAAATACTGCTTGCTCATTATATATTATTTCATTTCACAGAGTACTCTATGAAATGCGTGGCATCAGGGTTGCAGCCTGGTTTGATTTATATTGTTCAGGTTATTCAAATATTACTGGCTACGCAATTGGACTTACGTTTGGGTACATGTTCTATAAGCTCAGAAATAAAGTGTACTGCATTACGAAGGTGAGTTCTGCATTACATTACACGAACAAACTCTCCTCAAACTGGACTAATAATCTTTTTTTATGAACAAAGCACGAGCACTACAGGTAACTCTCCTACAAGTAACTCTCCTCAAACTGGACTAATAATCTTTTTTTATGAACAAAGCACGAGCACTACAGGAAAATCTTCAAGGCATTCTAAGAGCGGTGCCTGTGCGAAAGTAGCGATTCACGTTGGATTTAAATCGCTGAAGATTAAGTTCATTTGATAAAATGTTCTCAGGAAGTTTTTTCCACATGAACGCAGTTCTCCAAATGAAACAGTGAAGTTCGAGGTGTACTGAGTTGAACCTCAAAACGATGAGCAGCTACAATCCGTCGCGTATTCCTGATATGTACCGCTCTTGGTGGAACCAAATGTGATTTGAACACTTCCCGTGAAAATGTCTATGAAAGAGAGTCAAATCTCCAACTTTTCTTCGATTTTCCAGACTATCAAGGTTGCAGGTGATGGTCGTGTCTCCAATCAGACGGATGGCTCTTTTCTGGATGGAATCCAGCAGCTCCAGGGTATGCTTTGGAGCGGAGCTCCATACATGAAAACAATACTTCAAAGAAGGTCTGATCTGAGCTTTATGAAGCATCAAATGTTTCTGAGGTATGTACAGTTTTCTGGTTCCGGACAGTGTTCCAAGCTTTCAAGAAGCACCCTTTGCAATTCCAGCGACATACTGGTGTCCATTTTAACCCCCAACAAACGTATCGAAGTAGAAAGGGGAATTGTCTGAGACATTTTTCTTTTTGGAGAAAACCGATGCCTGGGATTTCATGGCTACCAAACTCTAATTCTTGTTTTCATTTGTGGAAACCTGGAGAAGAACCATAGAGTGGTGAAGTTGAGACTATTATTCCGCCATAATGACTAATAACTCAAAAAATGCATTTTTTGTATTATTAGTCATAATGTAAAAAAAATAAATTTTATATTTGTGTAAATATTTATCAGAAAGTTTTACATTCGAACTGTTGAACCAGATATCACCCACTTCAGAATCCTCTCGGATATAACAATATAGCACATATTGCTGTATTGTTAAAGAAATGATAAACGAAATATTCCTGTTACGAATTCGTCATTGGACTTGGCAACCGATATTAGAGGAGTGCAAAACTATATGATAAAAGAGAAAGATAGTCATCGCCTCCGAGCCTTTTGATTTTCTGTATCAGAACCCAAATAACTGACCATTGTTGATGTTTATAGTCCAGTCTGTCTATGTGTAATAAATAAAACTATTGTTATAGTTTAGGTAAACGATATAGTGCAACCTACCTTTCAACAGTTCCCCTTCAATAATATAGTTAGTGAGCTAATTAATTTTGTTATTCAATAATCATTTCTAGTTATATAAGAATAACTATGTAATATATATTCCTTGATAATTTCCTTTCCATACTTTCTGTTTCACTCTCACTGTCGTCACTTAAATCAATGATGAATTTATTTCCACCATCAATATGGAAGTGCCCAATATCCATATGTCTTTTTGAACCAAAACTACTTTTTTAATCCTTTTCTGCCAGTCTTCTTCGGTAATATTAGATACTTCTTCTTTAATTAGCTCTATTACCTTCTTATCAAATTTTGTTTGCAGACATGTTAGGCGTACACATTCTCGAACCAGCAGTCCATCGTTTCGTATTTGTGTCGTGAGTGTCATACCAAGTTTCGGTCAAATATAAAATTTGACGTTGTTCTTGTCTAAATTTAGTTATTTATTCTAAGTATCTGTTACGCAATTCCACTATTCTTCTGCTTTCCATAACTGCTTGACGTTTGTTTATTATTTTAAATCTAAATCCTCGTTTCTTCATCCAATTCTGAAGAGTTTTGTCACAGCAGCTCACGTTATGGCCGGATTTCAGTTGTAGAAATCTCATTGCTTTTGTAACAATCATATATTGTTTTTTGAAGGATTTTATTAGATTGATCCTGGTAATCCTGCATCGCATCGTGTCTTGCGTTTATAAGGTTTGTTTTTGACGTGTGAGGAATCACACGTTAAAAGGTAAGACCTCGTTAGTTCTTATCTCGCACAAGTTTCTCAACTTCTGAGAGTTGTCGTTCGTATGGGGGCGACAGCTGATTAACGAAAAAACGGATTTTAAACAGATTTTTAAACAGACTATTTTACGTACAGTTGAGAAAGGAATTTCGATCGCAAATCTCTGATGTTACTTGTAATGGTTTGTTTACCTCGAAACCAAACTTGAGATGTAGAATATTATATACATTGAAACATACTCTCTGTGTTTCAATATTCAAATGCATCCGGATCTTATTCACTGGTATCTCTTTTTCGCATTGTTCACCATCGCTATTGGAATCACTACACTGGGAAAAGTCTGCGTTGTTATCACACTCGATATTACTATTAGTACTTGTCCTAGGACGCCACATTTCAAAGAGATAACAAAAATTATAACTACACCAATATCGAATTTCAACACTCAAATCGCGATCAGTTCCTGAACTGAACACGACGGCGATAACCATTCCCGCTTTCCCGATTTCTATTCATCACCGTAACATGACTTCAAATTTAGTTTTATGACTCTTCAGCCCATCATAAAACTCGGTTAGTAAAAATCATCCAATACAAATCGCCAATTCAACGGTCCATGTGGACTACTTCGCAGCCGGTTCATTTTTATGTATTGTTTTTTTTGCCTTTGAGAGTGCCGACAACTTTAAGTATGCACAATATCGTTTGCTTCGACTATACACTTTCTTACAGTGAATTTATCAAAAACCATTATTTTAATGTTCTAACATGCACAATTTTACAGAAGCATGTGATACTCTGGTGGTTACTGAGCTTCGGAATATGTAACTTCATCATACTGATAGCAGCTGTGATGTATCATCCTGGCTACGAAAGTTCCCGCTTGGCATCAGCTTTATACTGGGCGTTTGGAAAAAATATTTTTGCGCTAGGTGTAGCTGTAGGGATATTCGGATTCACAATGAAAATCGGATGTAAGTTAAAGTTATTAAAAGAAGTCATAGCTTTTTGAGATTTGAGCCTCATGAACATTCCTCCAATATCAATAATAATATATGTATGCGAGAGTAGAAGACCAGAATATAACTACGTTGGAAATTGACTTTCAAAATCGGTCACAATTCTTCAATATGAAGAAAAACAAACTATTTTCATGTATTGATAATTAGCAAAAATATCTACACGGTAGCTTCATCAGTCCAACTGTGTGTCTTAAATAAAATGTTTGGTGTGAAAATTGTGAAATTATTATCATGAATGATGATTCAGTGTATTCATTATTAGTTTCATAAGAAGTAATAGAGTTTTCTATGTTTGTTAATTCTGTGGTATTCTCTCTAACCTTATAATCTCTGCTCATTGAACTGAAATTCAGATTTTTCAAAATAACAAATCAAATTAATTATCATTAGAGAAACAAAATATAAAGATATTGTTCACAGTATTCTACATAGGTTATCACAAAATACGCTGTCTGTTCAAAAAATTAAGTGAATTCTCTTTTTTCTCAAAAAATATTCATTTATTCATCAATTTCTATTTTGTGCCTTTCAAAGTACTCACCCTAAGATATATTACACTTATGCCAGTATTTTTTCCAATAAACCCATGGTTTGTCTCCAGTTATGACCCTTTTGAGCAAATCTGGATCAGACGTCAGTAGCGTAGCCAGGAATTTCGTTAGGGGGAGTCTAAAACAAGATGGATCCGGGAGTACCTCCCCGGGAAAATTTTTGAACTAAATAGAGTATTTTAAACTGATTTTATCACTTTCAATAATCGAAAAAACTTCATATTTCAAAAAAATGAGGGTTTTGAACTAATTTTAACACTTTTAATAATCGAAAAAACTTCATATTTCAAAAAAATCTTTTTTAAATTCATAATTTTTCAATATTGTCATTTCTTTTATGATGAAGCAAGTGTTTCATTCAAATAAACATTAATATAGTGTTGTAGTTTGTTCAGAGCTCCATACTCTTTCAAATAGATGAGTAAGGATAGAGAAACAACATTGTAGAGCAATAGTTAAAATATATGTATAACGTTTAACATTACATAAATGAATTTAACAAAATAATTCTCTAAGTTACAGTACTAATCTCCTATATCCACTTCTGACCGTTTCGTCGATTACTTCGTCACTGTTGATTGGAGCTGGTTAATGAATTGACAGTAGAGCAAGCCTATTTAATCGTTCATTACTCATAGAATTCCTCAGATAGCTTTTAATTCTCTTGAGAATTTAGTGTTTGTAGACAGGAGTAAGAATAACTTTTCATTCTTCCACCTGCTACATGCTTAATTTATTTTTTAATGTCTTAAAATTTCGTGGGAGTGGGTCCGGACCCCCCAGATCCCGCTCTTCGTTACGCAACTGGCTGACGTCATTCAACAATTCCTGAGCGATGCTCATGCGATGGTTTTTTTGGTAAAAATTCAGCAATTTTGGAACGAACTTCACTGCCACCCGCTTCCTGCCCAAAGTTTTCAAAAAAAGTGCATAACATGAGTCAACCAATATGCAGACATCCTCAGCAACTTCTCTAACAGTGATTGGACGATTCCCCATAACAATTTTCTTCACTTACTGAAAATTTTCATCAGTTCTGCTGGGGCGTCCAGGGCAAGCGACGTTTCACATTTTCTCGGCCTTTTGCGAATAGCTTGTACCAGTGATACACTTTTTGGAACCTTTGGTGTAGTAATATATATTACTAGAGTTTTTCCCAACACTAAACCGTTATTTAAATACCTCGACACGTGTTTGGATCACCAAGTTATCATCTTCAAGTAGTACAATCACCGTATGGCACAATCAACATTTCAAATATTTCTGACCATTTTTCTTGATGTTTTAGGAGCAAAATTCACTCGTCAAGCATATTCATTTGAGACACATTTTTTTCCAAATGATTCTTAGATAACTTTATGTTTTCACGTATATTATTCAATACTAAAACAACATAATATTAAAAGGATGATCAACAACAAAACATTTTTTTGGGGGGAAATCGGACTAAATTTCTGTCTTGAAAGTCTTATTTAGAATTGGGGAAAATATGGGAATCTTCCGAAGGAAGGAAGAAAGCAATTATATTCAAAATAAACTCTTTACAAGATATGTAGATCATTCATAGAAGTCACTTTCAGATAGAAATTTGAAGAACATACCCTCCTGAAACAAATCTTTCACATGAACATTGAATTACACAAAAGAAAGTACTCTCGAAACAACTACTTTCATATGAATATTGAATTATACGAAAGTCAGTGTTCATATGAAACTGGTTGTTTCTTTCGTGTAATAAAAAGTTCATGTGAAAGTAGCTGTTTCGATAGAGCTTTTTTTTCTATGTATCATCTACACACCTTTGTAAAGAGTAATTTAAATGAAATCAATCCTTTCAGAGTATCATTCCTCGAACAAAGCTGAAGCGAACAACAAGCAACATATCTGTCATCGCCCCCTCTGGCCGTAGACGAGGTACTAACCAACCGAACGGTGAAATAAATTTCACCTATAGTAAGCGGACATACTTGAAGACTGGCTATAAATCACTTTTGTTATGTAGTTACCGAAAAAAAAATATTTTGATATTTTTTTGAGAATTGCAATGAAAGATTTACTCTTCTATTCTAGATTAACTCCAACTCTTGCAGTGATGATAGCATTCGAATGTACATGGTTAGTTCATTTGGGACAAGGGCCAAACTGGGACATGGCTATAGCTGAAGAATACAGAAATTGTCGAAAAAATTGGTGGACGAATATAATATATATGAATAATTACATCGATAGTAATAATATGGTGAGTGACCCAAATCGTTTATGAAAGTTATTTTCAGGGATTTTGGCCATGGTCTGCAGATTTGTATGCCTGACGTTTCGTCTACTATTACGGTAGACATCAGCAAAGGCGATGTAGTAAAGGTCGCAGTGCTAGAGTTAGTGCTAGAGTTGTTCCCGTTTCGAACGCGGTAACTCCGCGTTACACATTATACGAAGGAAAGTGAAGTGTTTCTGTCATCTAGATTCAAGACACCTTGTGGTCAAACACAGCTTTTGGATAACAGTCGAATCCACCTTATAAGCAAGCTAGGTTCATTCCATATACATTGTTTTTTCTTTCATTTTTATATAACAATTCCAATCAAATTAACTACTGAAAGATAACATGAGTATCGAACGGCTGAAAACGAAAACAATAAGACGTTTTTCCAATATCAGGTGTTACATCCTCTAGCGTGGACAATAGATTCCATCCTCCGATGCATACCACGAATAAGCGTTCGAATATAGCTTAAGTTAGGTTAGGTCTAAAGTGAGTGCGTCTATTTGACCCTCCATAAACCAAATAAACCCAGTTTCTGAACGAAGCCGATTAGTTTATGTGGTGAGTGGTCTTTCAGGTCAGATGGTAAGAGTATGGCTCTGCCGAACTCTAAAAACCTAATTCGGTCCCCAACGCGGCAAGCACAAAGTATGTGATCTGCTGTTTCATCATTTTCCAAACAGAGGCGACACACACTGTCTTCTGACAGTCCGAGTCTCTGCATATGATGATTCAAATGACAGTGACCTGTAAGAAGGCCTCTTGGATATCGTAGTTCATCCCTACTGTAGTTTAACAACTGTTTGGTATCAAGCTTCGAAAGGTGAATAAACGCCTTGGAGTGAGCCAATCCGGGAAGATTCTGCCAGAAGTCCAGGAATCTCCTTGCCATCCAGGTGTTCAATCTTTGTTTGGCAAAGCCTGAAGCAATGCCAATTACAGGTTCTGGTCAGATGAAGCTACTTGCAGCACCGTCCTTTGCAAGGAAGTCAGCATCCTCATTTCCTTCCAGGTCACTATGACCAGGAATCCCGACTAGAGACAATCTGTTGAGTCTTCCTATCGAGGAGAGTCGTTTTGGGCCATTTGCTACCAATTTAGACGTTGCTCGGTAGGAGCCAAGAGCTTTCAACGCCGCTTGACTGTCCGAGAATATTTTATTGACTTGTGTATGAAGTTGGATTCTTCCATCTCTCCGCACACAATTCAATAGCGTAAATTTACGCTTGAAATATAGTCGCATAGGTTCCTAGGCAGGTTGATATCTCTGTCCTGGGTCTGCGACTAAAAACAGCCGCACCAGAACCGGAAGGTGTTTTTGATCCATCTGTGAATCAACAACTATCTGCTTTTGATATTTCCTACTCCCGGAGGATCGAGTCCTGTCCACTCGGGAACAGTAGTTTATGAGGCAGTTCGTAGTTAACAGTTGAAGGCATAAAGTCAGAGGTCATAATTAGAATGCTGTGACTTCCAGTGTCAACCAACAGACTGTTGCACTCTGCATTAAATTGATTTGTGCAATTGGAAATGTCCATCTAGCCTCTCTCTTCAGAAAATTGTGGAGAGGAGGTAGATCTAGAAGGATCTCCATAGCCGCTGACGGTATGATACTAATGGCACTACTGATGTCCAGAGCCAGAGAGCCAGAGAGCTTTTCCTGGGCCGTCTTCTGTAAAGCCTTCAGCCACCAGGCAATTACATTGTGATCAAGTGGTCTCACAATCATTACATAAATCCAATGGATCTGTTTGGGACCTAAATCCCAAG